ACCTCTGATTTCCTTGGCCGAATATCAGTTTCCTAAACCTGACTGGATGGCTAGCCAGTTCACAGGTCACTGTACATGGATGAGGCTTCTTCAGCCTCTGACACACTGTATTTTCTTAAATTCTAGATGGGAGAGTTCCTCCTGTTCTGCCCTGATAGCTTACAAGTGGGCCAAGGGTGGAAAGAGCGTTCCTGCCAGATTGAATGAGAATTAGATTTTTTTCCTGTGGATCACCTTAGTTGCATCTGTATACAGATAGTGTTCCAGCTTGTTTCACCGTTACAGAGGGCATGGCTTTCTGCTAGCTAGCTATTTATGATGCTCAGATTCCTGTATTCCTCAACAATATATACTTCTCATTTTTCAGCTCCTTGCATCACATCTGAGCACAGTACTCTTGTTTGTGTTGCCATAGGTATGGTCAGCTGGTAAGATTCTGGTTGTCTAGCTTACCAGCTGGATAGAGCTCTCTGGATTTCAACTCTTGTTACCTAATTCAAAGGAGAGGTCTGTGGTATAAAGCAGTGATTTTCAATTGGTGTGCTGCGGCAGGCACACTGGGTGCCATAAGAATTTTTAAAACATGCAACACCTGACTATTTAGTCAGTGGCATTGACCTCTTTTTCCTTAGATTGTCACAACAAACAAAACAAAAAAACAAAACAAAACAAAAAACCCAGACAGTCAATACAACAATAGCCATCTGATGTGAATGAATAAAAATTACACTTTTTTTGGTCAGATATTTTTTTGGTGTGCTGCAGACTAGTTTATGTGTGCCATGAGATAGAAAAGGCTGAAAATTGCTGGTGTAGGGTGATGCAAGTGGCATCGTTCCTGGTAACATTGGTATATTTTCCAGGAATTCTATATGTTGATTTCATTGATTCATTTGCTTTGGTTGTAGGAACTGTATGATTTTTTGTACAGTACCAGTGTAAGCAGTCTAGGATAGTGTAAAAGTACTAGGTGTATCGGTTAATAATGCGGATTTTGTAATCAAAGAAAACGGTAAGTTCAAGAGAAACATCAAAAGTGCTTTATTCAAAGTAATGTCCACCGCTAGCTACACATTTCCCCATCTTTCAGGTAATTTGTGGATACCGTCCCAATAGAACTTTTCTTGTTTTGAGGCAAACTATTCAGAGACCCAATTTTCCACTTCTTCGTATGTTTTGAAGTGCTGCTCAGAAAGTGCGTGTGCCATCGATCGGAACAAGTGGTAATCTGAAGGAGCAAGGTCTAGTGAATACAGCGGGTGGGTTAATACTTTCCAGGCAAGATCTTTTAACGTGTCTTTAACAGTTTTTGAAGTGTGTGATGGTGTGTCATCATGAAGCAAAATTACTTTGCTGTGTCTTCTGGCACATTCTGGTCATTTCATGATCAAAGCATGGTTCAAATTGATTATTTGTTGTTGGTAGCAATCAGTATTAACAGTTTCACCTGGTTTTAGAAACTCATAATACACCAAACCTTCCTGATCCCACCAATCGCAGAGCATTGTCTTCTTTCCGAAGCGATTTGGCCTTGCAGTCGATGTTGATGGTTGACCTGGATCAACCCATGATTTTGTGCATTTGGGATTCTCAAAATAAATCCACTTTTTATTGTCAGTCACAATGCGATGCAAAAAATACTTTCTTTTGTACCTTTGAAGCAACATTTTACTGATGACTTTTTGGTTTTCCATTTGTCTTTCATTCAGTTGGTGTGGCACCCATTTTCCTTCCTTTAAAAATTTTCCCCATTGCTTGTAAATGATCGGAATTGTTTGCTGAGCAATGCTTAATCTTTCTGCAAGTTGTTTTTGAGTTTGACATGCATCTTCATCCAATAATGCTTGTAATTGTTGGTCTTTAAACTTTTTTGGTTGACCTGGACGTTCTTTGTCTTTCACATCGAAATCATCATTTTTAAAGCATTTAAACTGGCGTTCACAAGTATCTTGAGATGGAGCATGTTCACCATAAGCTTCCCGAAGTATTCAGCAGCAATTTTCTTCAAAATAAAGTAATGAATTAAAACTTCCCGCAAATGCTCTTTTTTTGGCACGAAATTCGACATTTTTAAGTGTAAAAATATCATGTTAACACCTTCAGCAAATTTGACATATGAAGTTTTGAAGCTTGTTGTCAATACAACAAAATAGCATACATATCAAATCGCATGTATATCAACATATGTGTAACTCCATCTATTGAAAAAAATCTGTATTATTAACCGGTACACCTGTACAGGCTTTGGAGGCAGCTTCCTGTATTTGAATTGTAGCTGTGTGATCTAAGAACATTTCTTAACTTGTTTAACCTTCCCTTTCTTCAACCATAAAATTCAAAGACTAACATACTATTTTTCAAAAATCTGTTGTGAGGATTAAAAAAGACATTCCTTGTTCAAACCTTAGCACAGTGCTTGGCACATAAAGTGCTTAATGTATACTAACTGAAATGCCTATAATAATAGTTTGACCCTCTCAAGTGTTAGATCAATTAGTAATTAGTAATATTTGCAGTGGTTCCAGATTTGTGTATTTCAACTGTCTGAAATACTATGTGGAATTGGAATCAGAAATCTTCTCCTGGTTATTGGGGTGTGTGACCAAAGGATTGTGTCTGAGATTGCCTGTGCACACTTCTCTGGAGATATTTGTCTTATATTACTATGATCCAGTAGAATTGGTATTTGTCAAAGCATATCTTCAGATGTATATCACCTAGAATTTTTAGTTATGGCCACCTGACATCTTGCAAAATACAATTAAATTATCTAGACAAGCTTTGTGTAATGTATATTGCCTTTATCCATCTATGTTTATCACTTTGTCCATCAATGTTTGGAAGGTAATAGGAGACTTGAGATCTGAGATGAAATCTGAGACCCTTGTAGGCATCCTTTCAGATTGATAGGATCCCATGGAGCAGATGAAAGTTTTCTTTGCCTTCTTTCACCATCAGGTTTTGATAGTAAGTCAGATATGAATCATAATGGGCTCATTCTATAAATACTTGTTTGGAACTTGTTTTTTCTTCTTCTTTTTAATCTTTACCTGAGGATATGTTTTTTATTGATTAGAGAGAGAGAGAGAGAGAGAGAGAGAGAGAGACTCCTGTTCATGCCTCGATCGGGATTGAACCTGCAACCTAGGTATGTGCCCTGACTGGGAATCGAATCCGCAACCTTTTGGTGTACAGGGCGACACTGCACCACCCAGTCAGGGCTACTAGGAAGATTCTTAAGTCCTCTGCCTTCCTTTTCTATGTCTCTCCAGTTGTGCCCACTCCTCCCCCAAGTTCAGCTCCATTCTGCTGGTCATCTTTGTATTCAAATCTTGGTACACCTGTTTCTGGGAGTTACACCAACAGGATAAACAGCTAACTCTTGATATGGGTCTTCTTTCATTTGTGCTATTAATGTATTAAAATACCACCAGCGGTGAGGATGGGAAGAAATAGTATAGGTAAGTGAAATACAGCACAAAGCCCTAGGCAGCCCAGGGGATGATGATAAGGCTTACTTATCTACAGGGATTGTTGAGAGAATTAAATGAGAACTGTAGTAATTCTTTTTAAATTTTCATTACCATAATGCTTTATGAGCATTTACATAAAGTATTATCCCTTTATCAGATTATTTTATAGCCTTTTATCAATATTTGCTTATATTTTGAGGAGAATCTTTATCACACAAAATTATTAAAATATTTACACTTGTAGGTGTTTACAGATACAAGGCTTGTGTGTGTGGGAAAATTATAAATACTTGCATTTGATTTTTATTGAGAATACGAATACTTTGTTTGGGTCTTGCTGTTACTACCCATGGAGAGTTATTAAACAGCTATACCTGTGCTGTCCAATATGACAGTACTTGTTCCACATGCTATAAAAAAAAGTGAAATTGAAGTTAAAAAATAAGTTTAGGTTCTCAGTTGCTCTATCTACATTTCAAAAGTGCACTAGTTTCATGTGGCTAGTGACTTTCATATTGGACATCACATATAGAGGACATTTCCATCATTGCAGAACATTTTATTGGATAGTACTGAACTAGAGTGTATGAGAAAATTAAATAACCAAGTGTTTTTTTAAATAGAAAGCATTATCAAAAAGTCTGAGGTATTTGCTACTAAAATTACTTACCATATTATGCTTCTGTAGTATCTGTAAATATTACAATGAATTTTGTAACTTAAGTTGGACATGTATTACCTTTCATATTTCTAAAATATGTTTATATTTTTATAAATAAACAATGTCAAATTTCAGTGTCTCTGTTTTTATTCCTAGTATCCTGATATTGTATTAGAAATTTCCATTTGTTTTTGCAGTGTTTAAGGTTTGGTTCTATTTCTTTGCCACAGCCATATAACCTAAAATAAAACAATTAATAGTGATCATCTTCATTGTGAAAGGTATGATGGTGATTAACTTGTTTATTAGGAATAAGATATTTTAGAACAGTACACGTTCATATCCCATCTTTTTAACTTTAGGTTTTTGAAAATTTTGAACAAGAAGCTTTAGATTGCACCTATTTATTATGTAACTAGAGGCCAGGTTCACGGATTCATGCACAGGTGGGGTCCCTCGGCCTGGCCTGCAGGGATTGGGATGAAACCGGCTCTCCCACATCCCCCAAGGGGTCCCAGATTGCGAGAGGATGCAGGCCAGGCTGAGGGACCCCACTGGTGCACGGTGTACAAAAGCTCCGGGCTTCTAGTATGCATATAAGATCTTTGGTTAATCTCTTCCTGCCCTCCCTCCACCCCCTTTCCCTCTGAGATTCATCAGTTTCCATGCCTGTGCGTTGAGGGTCTGCCCCCTGGTGGTCTGTGTGCATCATAGCTACCGGTCGAACAGTCACTTAGGCTTTAATATATGTAAGAGTATATATATAGATATACTCTTACATAAAGGGTTTATTTAGAGAATTGTTGTTAATGAAGGTTATAATTCTCTTTTATTAAAACAACATGATGTTTCTTTTTTTATTCTAGGAAGCTTTACAAAGGATCATTTCAACTCTGGCAAATAAAAATGATGAAATTCAGAACTTTATTGATACACTAAATCAAACACTAAAAGGAGTTCAGGTATGAATTTCTTTTAAAAGTTTGTGTCAATATGTTATAATGAATGATTGTTGGATCAAATCAGAAGTATAAAAACACCTTATCAACTCTAGATTATAAACTAGTGGAGATGGAGCAGGGTTTTTAATCATCAGATAAAAATATTTTCTTTGCTATTCTTGCATTCTCCATGGAATGATCACGTAGTAAGGGAAAAAGAAAACTCTGGAATTATAGTTCTAGGAATATTGTAGTGTTCATTTTCCATTTTATTTGTGTCTTTTCTGTTTCTAACTAAGAGCAATTGTATCTTTCAAAAGTACTGAGAAGTTAAACATTCTTTTACAGTAAATAATGGAAGGAAAATGTAGATAGAAAAAGGTCTCCTCATAAAACCAGCTGAATGTAAAACATAAAAGTAAAAGGTAAAGTGCCCAATGAAGAGGGAGAGGAATACTTAAGGAAATGGTCCCAGATTTGGGGAGATAATCTGTACTGTAAATAATCAAATAAGCTGGTGATGCCTTCCATGAATGTGTCTTAACGAATTTAAAGGACTTATTTTTGTAGACAGTGAATCCTTTTCTATGGTTTTTGTTTGTTTTAACCTAGGTAATTGCCTGGTCCTTGGCCTGTTAGGCCTTATAGTCATTGTATTTCACTACTGTTTACTGTAATTGAAGTCAGTTGACTTCACCACTTTAGCAGTCTTCCCCAAACTATTTTAATGGAAAATTTGGTGAATTCACAAATCTACTTTTTTAAAGTAAGCAAAACTGAAAGTTCTAAAACTCTTGATCTATGGGTGAGAGAATCATTACATTTAACATCTGGACAAAGAGACCAAAAGATAGAACTAACCCAAAATATTTTTCTGATTGCCAGATTAATAGAACTATACCTTGGAATCCAGAAAAAAAATAGAGGGGTAATTAAACTAGACTGGTCACTAAAGATGGGTGCACACAAGGGAGTAAGTAAGCAAGACACTATAAGAATGTGTCAGTTGGTTATTGAGGGGAAAAGAGTAGTCCTATTCCTTTTAGATGAGTAAACTGAGGTCCAGGAATTTACGTGCCTTGTCCAAGGTTGTATTATTATTGAGTGATTGATGTGGGATTTAAGTCTTCTGCCTTCTAGACTGCATATTTTTTCTTCCACAGCTTGTTTTTATCATTGTAAATAAACTAGTAAAATGATTAACACCACTTTTGGTAAGACTCTGGTGTGATGATGTCTGGTTTTTATTAACATAAGCAAAAGTTTGGATTATGATATTACAATAGATTGTATTTATTCTGAGTGCCAATTTGCTTCTCTTAATTGAATGATTCATTTAAGTTGAAAAATGCCTTAAGATAATGTCTTCTGTCTCAATTTTTGCAAGTACTGTATACATATGGCTTATCTAGGGATTTCAGAGATATTTTAAATTATTTCTTGTTGAAATAATAGCATATTGCTTAATGAGGCAGTGAGAAGTCAATGGACTTGAAATGCTTTATTAATTCTGCCACTAGCAACTAGTGGCATAGCTTTGGGCAAATCACTTATGTGTCGTTTATTTCATAAAATTTAGCAGTTTGACTACAAATTCTAGTCATAGATGATTTTTGAGGTTCTTCTAGCATTAAAATCCAATGGTTGATAATCTTTTAGAATCTAGTAAGGAATTGCTTAGTCTTTAAGTTCTGTATATCTTTTATAAATACAGTATTTTAGACAGCCTGAAAGATTTAAAAATTTACACAAAATCAGCCCCACCCCTGTATTCCAAGAGTTATAGAATAAAAATCTCTGAAATGTTTTATTAAAATGCTTCACTAATGATTATGATGCACAGTAAAGGTTGAGAACTACTGACTTAGGGTCTGGCTTTGAGCCTGAAGGTCTGGATAAGTTGTCCACCTTAAAACAACCTTTCACATTGTCCTATGGAAACAGCATTATAAAAGGTGAAGAGAGTATGGGCTATTCCATAAAAGGCTGCTTAACTCATAGTACTGCTGAAATATATACTATTAGCATTAACAGCCAGCTTCTTCGATTTTTTTGTGTTTTTAAAGCGTTGTGTCAAATATTAGAATTCTGTTATTTTTATGATGTTAGGCTGAAACTCTCATAAAAATAACAGAATTCTAATATTTGACACAATGCTTTAAAAACACATATGATCTTATAATATGCATCTATTGTCTCTTTTGATAAATATATCTTAGTTTTTAATGTCTGACAGCTCTTCAGTAAAATAATTTTGTTTTGCTTATTAAATAGGAAAATTCTTCTAACATACTTTCAGAGCTAGATGAAGAATTTGATAGTTTATACTCTATATTGGATGAAGTGAAAGAAAGTATGATTAATAGTATCAAGCAGGAACAAGCTCGTAAGTCACAAGAGTTACAGGTGAGATCATAAAACTATTTAAATATGAATAATTTTAATCTAATGCTTCATTTATTGAAAGCAAAAATTAGTGAATTCCTGTGTATAACTGTGCTTTTATCTTGTAGAAGAATGATTCTTACCTTTTTTGGTCATTAATATCTAATTTTTAAAAATTTATAATAAAAACCAATGTGTGATTTATCCTCTTAACCATTTTAAAATGTTCAATTCAGTAGTGTTAACTATATTTACATAGTTGTGTAACAGATCTCTAGAACTTTTTCATGTTGCAAACCGAAACTCTATACCCTTGGAACAACTTCCCATTTGCCCCTCCTTCCACTGCCTGGCAACCACTATTGTATTTTCTGTTTTCATTATCTTGAGTACCCTAGATACCTCCTGTAAGTGGAACCGTAAAGCATTTGTCCCTTTTGTGACCAGCTTATTTCACTCAGCATAATGTCCTCAAGATTTGTCCATCTTTAGCATGTGCTAGGATTTCCTTCTTTTTTATGACTGAATAATATTTCAGTGTATGTATATCACACTTTTCTTTATTCATTCGTCTGTCTATGGATATTTGGGGTTCCTTCTACGTATTGCCTATTGTGAATAATGCTGTAGTGAACATGGGTGTGCAAATATCTATTAGAGGTTTTGTTTTCAGTTCTTTTAGATATATACCCAGAAGTGGGATTGCTGGTTCATAGGGTAATTCTATTTTTAGTTTTTTAGGAACTTCCATACTGTTTTCCATGCTGCTATAATATTACATTCCCACTAACAGTGCACAAGGGTTTTAATTTCTCCACATCCTTGCCAACACTTTCTACTTCCTACTTATATTATTATTTTGAGATATAATTGACATATAATGTTATTTTAAAATGTACAACATACTGATTTGATATTTATATATTACTTAATAATCACCACAATAAATCTAAGTTGATATCCATCACCACATATAGTTACAAATTTTTTTCTTATGTTAAGAACTTTTAAGAGCTACTCTTTTAGCAATTTTCAAATATATAACACACTATTATTAACTGTAGTCACCATGCTGTACATTACATCTCCAGAACTTATTTTATAACTCGAAGTTTGTATCTTTTGACCACCTTTACCCAGTACATGTACTTTCTATTTTTTTGGTAGTGGCCATCCAAATGGATGTGAGGTGATATCTCATTGTAGTTTTGATTTGCATTTCTCTAGTGATTAGTGATGTTGAGCATCTTTTCCATTTATATATATTTTTTTCAAGAAATATCTATTCAGATCTTTTGCACATTTTTTAATCTGGTTATTTGTGGGGTTTTTTTGTTGAATTGTAGGAGTTCTTTATATATTCTGGATATTTATCTCTTGTCAGGTATATGACTCACATTTATTTTCTCTCATTCCACGGGTTGACTTTCACTCTATTGATTGTTTCCTTTAATGTGGAGAAGTTTTTAAGTTTGGTACAGTCTCATTTGTCTATTTTTGCTCATGATACTAGGTACAATGTAGTAAGATCATGAAAATTTGTTAAAAATATGACTAGTGATTATCTTGCTTCAGTAACTACAATATTTTGTTCAGTTTTTGCTATTAAAATTGTAAGTTCATTATAACAATACTACATATTTAAGATTCTGATGGCAATCAAAAATTTTATTTTAATGATTAATTTTTTTTCTAGAGTCAGCTTAGTCAATGTAATAATGCCCTGGAGAACTCTGAAGAACTGCTAGAATTTGCAACACGGTCATTAGATATAAAGGAGGCTGAAGAATTTTCAAAGGTACAAAAAAAAATCAACCAAAAAATCTAAACTAAGCCACTTAAAAAGGAAAGTTTTGATTTTAAAAAAATGGTATTTTCCCTTTTAACTTTGGACTTAGTCTAAAAAACATAAAGTCTAAAAGGAATATAAAGTCTAGTTTTGACTTCTTTTCTCTGAGCTGATTGGGAAACATCATCACTTGATGCAGATGAGCACTGCAACTTAGTGAGATCTTGATACTAAAGTTCTTATTAATGTTCCACCTTTTATCTTAAGAAATGGAATGTTTTATTAAAATATGAAAATGTAGGTTCCTTATTTAGGGGAATGTTTGGTATGAAAATATGAACAGTAGAACAAAAAGACTGTTAATGTTTTAACCTAGGTACTGGTGTTTAAGAGATTTTGAATTCTAGTTTCTAGTTTTCATTTTACATAGAGTTGTTTTCCAATGATTACCAATTGATCAAATCTGTTATATTTTATATACAATAAGGGTGTAGAATATATTAAAAATGGTGAGAAAAGAGTGGGAATTAAACTATATAATTAGCAAAATATAGACTAGTAATCTTATCAAGCTAAAATATTTTAATTTGATGTTATTTTTCTTGGTCTTCATGGACAAACTGCATTAGTGTTAGAAAGGTGGCTTTATAATCAATTTGTGTCCACCTAATGTTTTCATTTTTATGATTTTTCTGTGAACTTGAAAGAAAAATCTTTCTTGAGAAGGTAACATTTGTTGGCTTATATTACTACATTTTTTTAAAATATATTTTATTGATTTTTCACAGAGAGGAAGGGAGAGAGAGAGAGAGTTAGAAACATCGATGAGAGAGAAACATCGATCAGCTGCCTCCTGCACATCTCCTACTGGGGATGTGCTCGCAACCAAGGTACATGCCCTTGACCGGAATCGAACCCGGGACCTTTCAGTCCGCAGGCCGACGCTCTATCCACTGAGCCAAACCGGTTTTGGCTATTACTACATTTTTAAAATGAACTCTAAAAACTAATTTCTTTTAACAAAATTAATCAAAACAAAAGTTATTTTTCTATAAATTAGTGAGCTAATTATTGAATTTGGAGGTGGGTTGTGAGGAAATGCATCTTTGCATTTGGTAGTGCTTACTATATAAAGCAGTTATGAGGGAAATGTATCATACTTTAAGGTACTTAAAAATATAGATACATTACCTATTTAGAGAGTGTATATATATATATATATATATATATATATATATATATATGCTAACCTCAAATATCTAGAACATAGCCAAATACGTGCAGAAAGAGCAAAAGATGTCTGAGTCCTCAAGATCAGTGTCACGGAGTTCATGGGCAAGAGTCATATCCTCTATTCAATAGCCTCAGAATCTGTTGGCTATTAATATGTACCTGGTACTAAAATTTTTAGTTTTTTTCTTTCTGTTTCCTAGCTTTCAAGAGTTCCCTTATAGTGGCTGGAGCAACTGTTAATGACAAGGCACAGTCATAGCAGCAGGAATTAATAGCTGAGAGCCTGAGAATGAGGAACAAGACGGGAAAACTATAAAATGTGTGCACAAGTACTCAAAGATAACTTGCATTCAGTTGCATTTAAATAGGGATTGATGCTTGGAAAAACTCTGATGAAAGTTTGTTTTTTCCAAGTTTCTCTTTTCATTCACATTTGAGTCCTTCTCTGCCTTCCTCTCAAAGGATATCATTCTCCCTTTCTCTCTCCTTTTTCTTCTTTCCAGCTTTGTTAATTAAAACTTGTTCCCAGCTATTTGTAAATTAGAAAGGTTTTGATAAAATAAATCACATTGTGGTTTAAATATATTCTTAATGTGCCAGTTGGCTTATCTTATAGTTTTGGTTTTGTCTTCCTGCATTTTGCAGTATTGCTCAATAGCTTAAACCATTTAGAGATGTGGTGAAATAAATTGTCAGTGTTTCCTAGCCAGAAATCTAAGTTTCTTATTTTAAAAAAATGCTTAACTGAGAGTTGCTTGCAATTATTTTCTGAGTATATCCAAAGAGGATCCAGATAAAGGTTTGATTCCAAGTCAGAACCTAAGTTCACTTTCCTGGCCAGCTGCATGGATAATAGGCTTGCCCCAAACACCTAATTGCTGAAAGAAAAGGAAAAGATGACTTTGAAGATTAACTGTTGGACTAGCAGTATATTGCCAGATATTTGGAAAAAGAAGTTCTTCTAAGGTATACTGTTTACAAATGTCCCATATTAAAGTGATTAGAACCAATTAATATGAATAGTTCATGAGGACAAAAAAAATCATAGGCTAAAATCCAAACCATTAATCTTTTTTAGACTTTGCTATCTTTAAAAAAAGAATTTTAAGTACTGATATTTATATGATCACACTGTTGTACTTCAATATGAAAATTGAATATGAAGCTATGCTATTTACCAGTAAAAATAGCACAAGTGGAAAAAGATTTTAGAACATTCACATTTATTTAGACTGTTAGAAGTTTGGTTGACAATAAATATATGCAGAAAGATCACCAGCAAGTGAGATCTGATCATTAACTTTATTTCTGGATGGATAAGTAGCCAAAACCCACCAAACCTGGGTTTTTTGCTAATAGCTGGCCTGCACGACACTGCTTGGACCCTTTGCCAAAATTAATATCCCTATCTTTTCCTACCCCCTGAATCTATAACTTGAATTCTACTTATGAAGAGCTGAGTCTGTGGGACAATTTCCAAGTCAATATAACTAACCAGCCATTTTATCACAATCTTGCCACACATAACCCACTTCTTAGACTGGAAAGGATGGAATGGTTACATGTCCAGGTGCCTACAATGAAATGAAATGTACAGATTAAGGCAAAAAGGAAATAATATCTTCTACATTTGATCACAGATGAAAAAGGAGAATGGGTTTTGTGTAATTCCCACTTCTGACGCACAATCATTGGAATATTGTTCAGTGGGTGTCAGGCTCTGACCACTGGGAGGAGCAAATAGGGAGAGGGATGGAAGCTCCCTCAGTATTTCCAAGGGAGCAGAAGCTGCTTCTGTGGGCCAACCTAAATATTTGTTAAGAATAGCGCAAGCTACAATTTCCCCCCTCTACTTGAGTGTTTATGTTCTATAAAAATGTAGTCTATTATATAAATGTCCTTAGTCATAGAACAGATGTGAGCAGTACTATATTCAAAGTTTATTTCAAGTTATTTACTATGACTTTGTGAATGTGTTTTTTAAAAATAGTTCTTTCTATAAACATTTATATTGAAATTATAAAGCTTCTAATGTATGGAAGCAACTGGTATGCCGTGTTATTTTCTTTGAAAGTTGGTATTTTTGCCTAAGGAAAAATAGCATTTGAAACTACCTCTTTTCACTCTCTGTAACTGAGTCTCCTTCATTTCCCAAATTATTTTCTTAATATGGTATTTTGGAGGTGAGGGTAGACGTCTCAATTATATATTATAAAAAAGTATTGAAAAAGTATTAAATATTTGCCCCTTATACATTTTCAGATTATCTCAAGGAAACATTGCGAAATTATCTCTCCCAAATCTAGTAGGAAATTTTGAAGTATAAAACAATGGGAACATGTAGATAAGACTGGAAAGGTTTCTCAGTGTTGTGTGGCATTCAGATTTTACTAGGAATTCTATTGGGATTTACTGCAAATCAAAATAAGGATAAATCCTCTCAGGCAAATACCAGTTTTGACATCTAGCTTCAGCTAGATTCATCTTTTGACAGGATTAATGTATTTTTCTCTCAGCAATTATAATTCAGAAATAGATATATTCTTATTTTGGTTCCTGATTATCAGTGCTCTCTGATTTTTTTTTTGATTTTTTTTAGTGCTCTCTGATTTTAACTAACTCTTTGCCACCTCTTTTCCATTTCAGCCCATATTTCAGCAAATTCTATTGTTAGAATGTTTAATTTATTTTGGATAATTTTTAAAAGTTATCTACATATAAGATGGCTTAGGATGGACTTTCAGGGTTGGAAGATATCTTAGTGCTCATCATTTTATATATGAGATAAATGAGTCCTAATAGAGTTAACTAACTTGCTAGTTAATGTGATGGGCTGAAACTCAGATCTCTTAAACTTTGGTCATTGCTTTTTATTTTTTGCTCATGAGTTAAAACAATCTCTGCTGATGGGGAAGAAATTTAGAAATCTCAAATTTTTTTCTGTTTGGGAAAATGATTCATTGAGTACAATAAGCAAGGCCTAAAACTTATTTTAACTGTGTTTAGAATATACTATTCAATTTAGCTGCTCCATAAATAGAATTATTTTAGGGTACTTTGCTTCTAACATCTATCTATATAAAAGCATAAGTGACCGTTACGACTGGTCACTATGATGCGCACTGACCACCAGGGGGCAGGCGCTCAACACAGGAGCTGCCCCCTGGTGGTCAGTGCGCTTCCATAGCCAACCTCCCGCAGTCCCTCCCCCCGGACTGGGCAAAACAGCCCCGATTGCAGCCAGGCCTAGAGACCCCCCCCCAACCCATGCACGAATTCATGCACCGGGCCTCTAGTCTTTCTATAAAAGGAGAAAAATGAGGGTTTAAGAAAGAATATAGAAACAATAAGATCTTAACTTTCAAAGGGCTGGATAAAGTCACGGAAGAAAATAATTTCTATATCCACTAATTGCAGATTAAAAATGAGAGATTGGGAAAAGATCTGGTTTGTCTTTATATTTAATTTGTAATTATGAAGAACCATTTGTGATTACTACTACATTGTACTCTTACTACAATTCTTTTTAGGGTCTTAGGTGACAGATTTCTATAACTGATAAAAATAAAGATCAGAATTATAAGATTTTAAAAACAATTAATGGAGAGTTGGAGGAAGGGAAAGACCAAAAGGAGTCATGTCTGATATGAACAGAGGGAAATGAAGTGTTGGCAAACAATATTTCATTAGAAGATTGAAATAGAAATAGTGATCAAAATTGAAATAGGAAATAGTCATGTTGAGCAAGGTAATATTACTAATACTTCTTGAAGACTTCCAGTAATATACAGTATCATAACCTAAAATTCTAAGTATTCACTGAGGCTTCTTCATAGCTCACTAAGTGGAATTATGTAGTTGCCAATAAATGTACTTAGTAAGCAGAGATGTTTAAGTGACAAAATGCATAACAGTTGAAATTGAAACTTAGAGGAATCAAGCAACATTGCAATGTGTATCTTTTGGACAGTTTTCTGCTTTGGGAGAAGAAATTCTAGGAAAAAAATTAACCTATTCTCCAATTCAAGAAATTTTTTAAAAAATTGGGCCTTATTAGAGAAATAATTTCAGAATTTGAGACTTTCTACTCTTTATCATTGTACAGAATAACTTTTCAACCTTCCTGCATTTACACAGTGAATGTACTATAAAATTTGAACCTAAATAAAAGAAGAAGCACTGAGTCTCCAGCTTTACCAAATGGGTATAAATCAACAGTTTTTACCAACAGTTTTTCCTACATTACCTGGCTTTTTATCTGTTCATTTCTGGTTTGTCACTAGCAGCCAAGTACATTAAATAACACGAAAGCTTTATATGCACATGTACATGTGTATACTTGCACACACTAAAAATGGCACCTTAGTAAATTAAGTAACACTAGAAACAAAATTGAATAATTATGGTCAGTTTAAAAAAATGTGATGGTCTTTATTTTGTTGGGTTATTTGAGAGTGCCTGGTTAGTAATATTCCTTTAACCAAGTTCTAAACCATTTGGGAAATAAGATAAAACAATAAAGCTGATAAGAGGCCAAATATTGTTAAAATGGTATTGGAGAATTTGGCTTATATCAATGGGCACTTTCCTAATTGTAGAAATAGGTTTACCCACGTAGGTATGGTCAGTATGGGGGCTACCTCAGGTGTCTGTGGGGGTAGCCTGTTTCAGTGAAACTTACTGCATCAAGGGAAAGAACAGAATATGTATATGTTCTCTGTGGGCAAGCAAGCTGCCAGAAAAAGGGAAAGGTGCTGAGCTACTTAGATCTGGTGTCTCCTTTCAAAGCCAGTCAGTCAGATTGGGTCATTGCACCTCCCCAGGAGAAATGAGGGAGCAGAGAGGCTAAGGGATAATGCCAGTGGAGCTTCTCTGTATGCGAAGAAACATCAACTACAGAGAAGAGTCCTCTTCCCATTGACATTTATATTAAAAGCTTTGGTTTGTAACGCTAGCTGTAATGACGACACTTAAAAAACACACACAAAAACCCCCAATGTAATTGACCACCATAACATTTCTTATTCTAGTAACAAAATAGTGTCATGATTTAAGGAACATATTATAGATGTCACAGCATTGGGATGTCTGCTGCAGAATGTGGAGCTTAAAAAGGGTCTTTAGAAACAGTAAGGACCCAAATCCCTTAATAAAGAAATAGAATGATTAGTATACAAGGTCACAGGATTGATTATGATAGTCCTGGAACTGCATCATATGCTGATCTAAATTGCAGTTTTGTTCTTTTGTGTAGAAAGGTTCTCATACCAGAATATTCTAGGATGGGTTTAAAAATGACTGTTAGTATGAACAGTGTTAAAACTGAAGATGAGGGGCAACAGAAGCTTTGTTATACATATTTAATGTTCATTTACATTTAATAATTATTAAGTATTACTGTGTGCTAAGCTTTATGCTAGACACTGGGGATGGAGTGTCAAGTAAAATATGATCTTCAATGGATATATCATTAATTACTCTGGTCAATATGGAAAAAAAAAGTTTGTTGGATATATTGCATGTGAATGTAGAGGGGATAACAGTTTTTACTTGTATTTTTCTGGGACTGTCACCAAATAATAGCTGTGTTCCCTTCCTAAACTTATGCTAGCATTCTAAAAAAAAAATAAGAAAGGAAGGAAGGAAGGGAGGGAGGGAGAGAGGGGGAGAGAGAGAGAGAGAGAGAGAGAGAGAGAGAGAGAGAGAGAGGAGAAAAAAGATCTTAATGTAGAATAGGTTTATGTTTAAGTTGGCAGCTTCTATGAAGTCATCTGAGGGAAAGACCCCATTGCTCCAAGTATTTTTCCTCTGAATTTTTGCCATTAGAACTTAACTCTTTGGGGGGTAAAGGAATGTAGAACTGCAGCCTAGTTTTATATGTTAGCAGGCAAGCTCTCAGAATACAGTCTTTGCCCAGTGAAGTCATATAGAGAAAACTTGGAACAATGATTATGAAGTGGTGAAAGAGATCTCTGAAGAAAAATTGGAGAGCAGGTTTGAAATATGTAAGAAAACCATCAGAATGCATAGAAATGGGTGCCCAGGAAGGAGAGTGGTGGTTCTAGTGGAAGAGTGACTGACTGAATGAAAGTGGAGGTGTGTGATGATAATCTTAAGGTAAGAAAAAACATTTGTAGTCATCTGGTTTTAGTTGGAAGTGTTTGTTTTCCCTCCTTTTAAGGTGGTGTATATGGGGTCTAGATTTTCTACTGTAATTCTAACATCACATTATGCAAGCTGATGCAAACTGTACAAATTTCCTATAATTTATGTTTTGGTGAATATGAACTAATCTGTTCCAGGGTTTATATCCTAACTTTTCTTGCATGTCACTGCCATTGAAACTTGCATGAAAAGCACTAACTGCCTTCTTTCTCTCCTCCCTGATCTGCTCCAAGGCTGCCAGACAGATCAAGGATAGGTATGGAATAAAACCTACATTTTTATTTGTGTTGATATTGAAATCAGAAATGAAATTCAAGAACAGTTTTTAACTAGACTCTTAGTTAAAACAAAAATACCTAAAGGTCAAATACAAAAAAAATGTCTTCTGCATATTTTCAGTAATAAGCAATATGTTAGCAAGATTTTTTAAAAACATAGTTGTGGACAATTATGTACTTCCAAAAGAATTTCATTTCTGGTATAATATAGTTAGTTTTAGTACTAGTTTTACTACAGTTCTTAATTGACTATGCTAATGGTGGGGAACCAATTTGAATAATTAAAAAAATATTCCTGGAATGCATTTTTTGTTGTTCTTAAATTTTATATGTGTGACTTATTTTCTGAGAAGTCACAGCATTTTAGATCGTCTTCAGGAGCTAAAGCTCTCTCACTGCTCTCCTGGTTAACACCTTTGTATTCTCGTTTTATCCTGTTCCTGGTGCCATCTCTTTCTCTTTCTAATGCCACTACTACCAGTTTATGGGAAGAGAATATTAAAGAAAATAATGAAAGACTCTAGTTTATAAGGTCTCTCTCATTGGCAGAGTCAGGATTAAGAAAGGAAACTGAGTACTTGCTATAATGAATACACTAAAAGGCTACAGGAGCTGCTGGCATTTTGGATTGGGATCTGCCTAGCTAGTCACTGACCATTGACTCCAGTGAGGTGATCACTTAGGTTTCTTCATTGGAGGATTATGAGATTCTCTGAAAGGCACAGCTCTTCAAATCCCCGCTCTAAATCCTAGGTGAAATTATTCTTCATCAGATAATTTAAAAACTATTCATTGTAGGTTGTGTGAAAACCAGTGTCTCTGTTGTTAATCTTGGCTGAACACTTTAATTCTGGGTTTCTCTCATGGCTGTTTATTTGACTAAGGCAAGATTCACATGACTGTCGTAGCATTTTTAGCACAAATATTTTTATATTTTTTGTAAATTTTATATCAGGGATTGGTTAAAAACATGGATCATTGTTATAAATCCTAAATGTAGAAAGGAGATTATGAGAGTTTGAAGGTGAAAATATTGGTGTTTGAGGATTGGATGCTAGGTAGTGTTTTGGATAAGGTAGTTTTGGGTTGTGTTTGTTGGAATTCATTGTGAGCGATCCTTCTTCCCACCCTGGCTAGATTATTCTTCTATTTAGCCACGTATTCCACTAAATCGTGCTCTGGTCCCTGATTATCTGCGTTAGAAGTCACTGCCTAATCAGGCTTTGGGCTGTCCAAAGACTTTGTGAGAGTCCTTGCCATATCCTCCCTTGTTCTTCTCCTAGGAATCTCTATGGTTTTGTGCTTCCCAGAATTCTGTCCTTAGCCCTGACCATCCAGATTTGTTTGTCAGAATTTAATGTTATGATCAGTGTTCACGGCTGAATATATTCTTCAGTGAAACTTGATCTCTTTCCCTCTTCTTCTAAGCCAACTTGTTGGCTTGATTTCATCAGTATCCAAGGGATCTCAGAAGTCAGAATTTCTTTTTTTGGCCAGAGCAAACTCCATTTATTTGTTTTTTTTTGGCTACCCACAAAATGTTTACTTCTTACCTAAGGAACATTTCTGGGTTTGGGTTTAATTTTTTAACCTTGATTTTTAGTTTCATAATGTCCAGTTTCTCTGATACAGTTTTTAGGTGCTTCTAGGAAGCAAGCTTCTAGAATTCCATTATTGCTATTCATAATATGAAAACAGAGAGTCATACTAAAATAATTATTTTTACTAAATGAAGAAAGGATTATCCCCTTATATGAGGTTGAAAGTGGTATTTTAAGGAAGAGTGTGTAACATAATCTGAGCAAGGAATCAGATATATGAAAATGACAGTATCTGTGAGAACTCAGTATTTATCATTTGGTGTGACAGAAGTTGTAGAATAATGGAGTGACAGGAAACACTAAAGACAGAAATGAGAAGATGATAAATAGCAGATCTCTTTACAGAGCACTGGTATACACGTCTGGGTGCTTAGTAATGTTGGAAGATGATTCGTTGAGGCATATTGCGGGAGTTACTTGTTCTTGAAGGAAAGGGGTCATGAAAGGAAGAGTTGTTAATTAGGTAGGTAGTTTGAGGAAATTAAAAGTGTCCATCTGTATGTTTTGCAGTTATTTTATTTTTGCAAAAATAAAATGGAGAAGTGTGAGCCTTGTATTCAGCTTTACTATTAGAAATAAATCAAGAAAGTCAGGGTGAATAAAAAACATTTGTATTGACATAGATCCTGTAATATAATTATGGATTTCACATTATTAGTTGGGGCTTTGAGGCACAATTGTTTAAATGTATTCAGTTTAAAAATAAAATGTTCAGTCTTTTGAAAGATTATAGCATTGTTGTACATCTAACTTGATTTATGGAGACTGAAATTTTCATTGACTAGAAAATGAAGGTCATTATTCTTGTTTTTTTAGGCTTTGATAGACCTTTCTATTGGTTTTGGGGAGAACATTCTTTTTCTTTGAGGCCTTAGTGATTAAATCAAGTTTTGCAGATAAAGTTTCAGAATTAAATTTCCTAAAATACTTTCAGATTTTTTTTCTCAAAAGTTCAAAAAATGAATTTTAATAATCAGGTTTAGAAGCAACTAAGTAGGTTCAAACCCATTCATTGATTCTGTGGGCATTTACTAAGTACCTATCTGAATATAGCTCTCTCAGAGTCTTCAAATCAAAAGATACTTGGGGCTGTAAAGAACAAAGTATGTAAGACTTAGCCTTTGTTCTTAACTCCTTATTGATGTCATCTGAAATTTTATTATTGAGAACCAGCAGCTTAAAGTAGTATGATAGAAACTCAGTGTTATGACTGGAGTTCAGTAAGTGTGAATTCCCTTCTCCATAAATTGTATTTAAGTATAACACTTTTTTCTTGATAAATAAATCAGTTAACTTTGTTTCTAAATAAAGTGATTACTTTCCTAGTTTTAAAAGTAACTGGATACAGCAACAGTTAGACATTTTTCATCCTAAAATGACTGACTTCAGCGACAAGTTTGGTATCTTTTAAATCATTGATTTGTAGAGTAGATTTGGCAGATCTGAATGACTAGGCATGCTGTTCTCTTTGTTCCTCCAGCTCTATTTACTCCCTCTCCCAAATTGTGTAATAGGAGGACAACACTCATGAATATTACTTTTGTATTATTCTTTGACAAAAGATACTATGTGATACTTGTGGAAATTTATTATAATATGAAAAACTGAAATTTGAAACAAAATGACAAATTAATAGAATATGATAATTTTTTAAAATATAGTTTTTAATATATATTTTAAAAATATATTTTTATTGATTTCAGAGAGGAAGGGAGAGGGGGAGAAAGATAGAAACATCCATGATGAGAGAGAATCATTGATCGGCTGCCACACTGGGGATCAAGCCCACAACCTGGGCATGGGATTGGGAATAGAACTATAAACTCCTGGTTCATAGGTCGATGCTCAACCACTGAGCTACGCCAGCCGGGCCAGAACATGATAATTTCTTTTCTTCCCAGTTTTAATCGACAGAACAGGTTTCCCATACTGTGGATTAAATGAGGTCTGGTATGGCTTCTTTCTTTTTTTGTTTTTGTTTTTTTTTATACCACATTCATCTAATATTTCTTAAACTCCTGCTATTTTTATGTGTGGTTTCATAGTGGTGTTTCTCCTGTATCCTTCCATGTAGCTGATGTTGACAATCAGAGTGACACCTCCTAGTGATTTCACTTCTCTCCTTTCTCATCTATGGCCTGTCCTTAGCCACTACCAAGCTATCCAGTATTTGGTCAATGTACCTCTACTCTTATTTGAGGACACATGGAGGAGCTGTTACTACTAGGGAGAATGTTTGAATCAGGATATATGTACAGATCATCATTTGGCATATGAAAAGGAGTGAGGCTGGCATCAGGAAGTCAGTAAGCTTGAGTGTACAGAGATTTAGATGGCTGTTGGGTCTGTTAAAGATGATTTATACTGAATATTTGTCTCTTGTGATACTTGTATTTGAATGCAGTTTTATAAAACTGGCTGGAGGAAAGTGTCTTTAAATTTAAAAACACTTTACAGTTTTTTTATGTAGTTAATTTTCAAAGACTAAGCAAATTTCTATTTAGTTGGGTTATCTTTGTTAAAATTTCTGAAATCACTAGGGTGAAATCATTTCTATCTTTTCATTTTATAAATTAAATATATGATACTTCCCATTCTTTTATTTTTAAAAGTATGTTTGTATTTGCTGCAGAGTAACAATGGCTTCAGCCTTTCGCCTTTCTTTGAAACCAAAGGTCAGTGACAACATGACTCATTTAATGGTGGATTTTTCTCAGGAAAGACAGATGTTGCAGACTTTGAAGTTTTTGCCAGGTCAGTAAGCGTACATATTACATCTAAATTCTATATAATAAAAGCCTAATATGCAAATCAACCGAACGGAGGAACAACCAGTCGCTATGGTGTGCACTGACCACCAGAGGGCAGATGCTCAATGCAGGAACTGCCCCCTAATGGTCAGTGCGCTCCCATAGGAGGAGTGCCACTCAGCCAGAGGCTGGGCTTATAGCTGGCAAGTGCAACAAGTGGTGGCGGGAGCCTTTCCCACCTCCGCTGCAGGCAGGCGGTAAGGAGTGAGGCGTCCTGGACTTCAAGAGCCCCAGACTGCGAAAGGAATGTCTGACTGCCGGTTTAGGCCCGATCCCTGCGGGGATCGGGTCTAAGCTGGCAGGCAGAAATCCCCCAAAGGGTCCCGGACTGCGAGAGGGTGCAGGCTGGGCTGAGGAACCCCCCCACCCGTGCACAAATCTCATGCACCGGGCCTCTAGTTTATATATAAAAATATATTTTCTGCAAGATGTTTCTGTATAAATATTGGAATGTAAATATTAAAGAAATATAGCATAAGTTTTTTCATTCTAGGAATAATTAAATTTGCTAGACTTCATTTTTAGAAAATTATTTTACTGGTAGTTAAAATTCCATTTTTAAGAATCCCATTAAGGGATATATTTTATTATTAGTTTGACATAGCAGTACACCACAATGTAATGCACTGGATCCTGCACACAGACTTCTTAGATTTTAATCCTGGCTGCTACTTACTTGCTATAATCTCTTGCTAATTCCAGGAAATTTTTCATTGATTCTTTGGGTTTTCTCCATAGATAATCATGTCATCAGCAAACAAAGACAGTTATATTTCTTCCTCCGTAATCTATTTACTTCCTTTTACTTCCTTTTCTTGTCTTACTGCATTTACTAAAACTTTCAGTACACTGTTGGATAGCATTGTCACTAAAACTTTTTTCAGTGACAAAATGTTTAAATATAATACCTGCACAGTTTCACACATTTCAGACACATTCGTATCAGTGGAGGATCACATTCTCCAATTCGCCTGTTGATATGTAAATGAAACATCTGTTAATGTTGAGGATCTATGGAAAAATCTCTTTTATGGAAAAGAAGTTGATTAATGTTCATACATGTTAATTGTGGCTCATTTATCCCTATTTATTTTGATGATTCAGAAAACTCTGTAAAACACTTTAAAGTTCTTAAGTATTTGGGGATTGAGGAGTTCATTTTTGTTTAGTGTGAGAAATTACAATTATTTTATAAACAAAGATTTTAAAAATACATTGAAAATATTTTGAATTATTTTAATTATTGGAGTTAAAGCAAGATATTTTCTCAATAGTGATTTAATTTATAGCCTACAGCTGTTTGAAATAGATTAAAAGTACATGTTGAGAAGTAACAAGTAATTCTTTATTCTTAGCATGTTTGAATTGCTTCTTGCCAACTAGGATTTAATAAACTTTGAAAAAGTCTATGAAAAAACTTTTAAACATGAATTTTTAAACAGAGCTTTGAAAAATATATTGTATTTATAGGATATCTCTTCTCTTAGCCTGATTCAATTGAATAGTTCAAAAGCAACATGAAAACCGTAGTTTGAATGACAGACATAAATATTGGATTAGTACTAGAATAAATTAGCCTTTTTCTTTTTTCTTCAGTCCCCAAAGCTCCAGAGATAGATCCAGTAGAGTGTTTGGTGGCTGACAATGCTGTAACAGTAGCTTGGAGAATGCCAGAAGAAGATAATAAGATTGATCATTTTATACTGGAATATAGGAAAACTAATTTTGATGGACTTCCACGTGTAAAGGATGAGCGATGCTGGGACATAATTGATAATATTAAGGGTACCGAATATACACTGTCAGGTAAAATGACTGCATTTCATGAATCTTTCTCAGAAAATAAATGTAATTAAGAAAAATATTTTTAGTTACTTCAAAAGATAACATTAAGTTTCTTTAGCCAATTTTTTATGTATTCATTATAGAAGTGAATTTCTCTTCTATCATTTAAATTCCTTCTGGATATTTGCAACCTGGTAAAACAATGTATGTAGAACAAGCATGAAGGATATTTTGGAAACAATATTTCAGAATATTTAATTTTTACCTTGGTTTTCTATCAACCAAAAAACTGTCAACTTTCTAGATGTACACACAGAACCACAAATATTGTTGCCTTTAATCCTTTTAGGATTACCTTCACAGTAATACTTAGAGTAGAACTGTGACTTGGTATTAGAAATTTGTTCATTAGCCTTTTGAAAGTCTTTAAAAAGGTATCTCCTTATATAGGGGACCTTGGGTATTTGAAATGACCTAATGTTGCCTGAGTTAGTAAATGCTTCTTATGGATGATCAATAACATTAGTAACTTTACCATTATTGAACACTGAACATTTGTCAGAAGCTAGGCTGAAATGTATTATATAGTACATCTCAAATAACCAGTATAATAACATCTCATTTACTATGTAGAATTATGAGGTTGGTTTTATTATTTCTGTTGTACAGATTCAAAACTGTAGCTCTGTCATGTTGTTGAAAGTCCCACAGCTAGTAATTTTTAGACTCTTTTAACCTAGACATGACTAACTTCAGAGTTTTGCTATTAATCCATATGCTTCACTTTTCTTTAAATTTATTTTTCACAAAAAATGACAGTGTTGCCCTACCGGTTTGGCTCAGTGGATAGAGCATTGGCCTGCGGACTGAAGGGTCTCAGGTTCAATTCCGGTCAAGGGCATGTACCTTGGTTGCGGGCACATCCCCAGTAGGGGGTATGCAGGAGGCAGCTGATCGATGTTTCTCTCTCATCGATGTTTCTAACTCTCTATCCCTCTCCCTTCCTCTCTGTAAAAAATCAATAAAATATATTTTTTAAAAATGACAGTGTTTCATAAATATAAAATTCCTTAGGGAGTTTACTTTCTAGAAATTGAATATGTCATTTTAAATTCCAGCTTCTGTCCTTTAATGCAACATTACTTTTAATGAGGCTTGACAGAACCTTTTATCACTATGTTTTAAAAAATTCATTGATAAACTGTATAACTTATTTCTTTTGAAGAAAACAATAGATAAATCATTATTCCTCTGATTTCATGCATTACTACTGTTTTAACATAAATTTATAATCTTCCTGAGTAAAGAGAAAGTTCCACAAAGGGAAAAATGTCTGTCTGAAGGTTCATACTCCTACTTTTAGAGTAGATTCCTTTACTTTTCATGTCTGAAAACCATTTTCATTTTTTCAGGTTTAAGGTTTGATTCAAAGTATATGAATTTCAGAGTACGAGCTTGTAACAAAGCTGTGGCTGGAGAGTGTTCTGACCCAGTGACTCTGGAGACCAAAGGTAAGGTCAGTAGCTATGTATGCAGCATCTGGATTTATCTGAGGCATGGTTCTATCCCTCCTCCCCCCACCTGGAATTCCCAACAATAGGAATTTTAGGATGGAGAAATCAGGACTATAGTAGTGGTTTCATTAGTTTTTACTTTATCATGGTATTCAGATAGGTAAAATAGACTGAGATGATAGTGTTATATTCTCAGGTGGGTGCTTAGTTTACAAATTTCAGTTTAGTATAAATACATAAACATCATTGAGATGTGTCCAGTGTTTTCCCAGGGAATGGATTATGGCTCAGTAATGGGGAAATGCCTTTTCAGTTAGTTCAGGTTCTCTCTGTTTTCTTAAGTCTTATTGTAGAAATTAACATTTATATAGTTTATTAATGTTTACAAATGACTCTCACAGTTCTTCATTTGATCATTAAGACCATTCTGAGAGATCAGTAGAATAGGTATTACTGATAGCCATTTTGTAGAAGAAAGTGAAGTTTAAATATGTTAAATGATTTGTGTATGATACCTGGAACTAGCTTGGAAAGATGTGAATAAGAATCTGTTTCAAGTTCTGTGCCAGCCCCTTTGAGGGCATGAATTGAGGTGCCTAAAGTCTATGAGAGCAATTTGGATTTAATTAAAACTCCCTAGAGTTTAACTCTCATATTTTAATACAGAAGATTTTTTTCAGATATTTACCAATTTGAAGTTCATAATGCTGGAGATCGTCCCAGTTGTGAGATGATAATTGAGTGGGTTTACTTCCAGAATCAGATTCCACACATCTCGGTGGTGTTTATGTATTTATACTAAACAGATTTGTAAACTAAGGGTTTGTAGAGAGAGACTAGTTGATTCTAGTGTTTTCGAACATTTCTCACGGTGGGATAGACCCCCTGGGGTGTGGATAGACTGAAACTCAACCTTGAGGCCTTATTGAACAGTGATTTTGAACTTCAGGGAGATCCAAAATAAACTCTGTCTTTTAAATAGCGATGGGTCACAGATTTTCTAAAACTATTCTATAGCACTGGAATGGCTATTAATGAAAGCAGGAGCTCCAGACGAGAAGTCCAGATTTTGAAAATATGACATGTTGAACAATTGTTTATTGATTTTCTTGGCCTGCTGCATGCAGTCCTTGTTGACCAACCAATAGAAATAAGTGTATAAACAAAGAACTGGAGAGAAAAGTAGAGGGATGGAGATTAAATAGTTGAGGACTACCAAAATTCATATCCTGCTACCTATGGTGCTTGATGTGAAAAATAGTGAACATTATCTGTCTCTCCAGTGTATGTGGCACTATTTTTTCTGTCATTAGAATTGTCAAAAGTGATGCATAACGTAAGTTTTTATGACCAGAATTTAAAAAAAAATAGTATCCCTTCTTGTAAAGGTAAATGATCTGATATTAATCACAATTTACTCTGTGGACTCAAATGATAATGGCTATAATGGTTTACAATACCAAGAAAGCAACCACCAATACACATTGAACCCTTGAAATGTTCCTGTACTCTGAGTTTCTTGGTACTTTGTTATCACAGACTTTTAAAGATATGGAAACTAATATCTAGCTATATTACAGGGCTTATATAAGAGACAGGACTAACATTTGAGATCTCACTGTTGGAGCCGGTCTTTTTTAAAAACAAACAACTATACAGTATTATCCCTTTTACCTTAGCCTGTATGACTCAGTTGAGGTCCCATAAAAGGAATAGCATGTGTGTGTGTGTGTGTGTGTGAGAGAGAGAGAGAAAGAGAGAGAGAGATATGGGGATATCACCCCTGGGACTGAAACCCATGTCTTTTCGTTTGGATGCTGTGGTATTTGGTAAGTCTGGTCTCTCTGGTGACTTGGAAGTGATACCTTTTCTGCCACTATTTACTCCATCCTTCTCCATCATATGACATATTAGAGAACTGCCTGAGGATTTTTTACTTTCTTTTTTTAAATTATTTTTTTAAAACCAGCCTTCCAGTTTTAACAAGTAATTGAGAATTGATGGCACCTTTGAGTTAGATCCACTTTTTCATTCTTTCAAAAATGTGAGTGCCCTCACATGCATTAAATTACCTAATAGCTAATATAGAAATTAACCCTGTTTTTATATATATATATGGACTTTAGCGAGAGGAAGGAAAAGGGAGAGAGAAATAGAAACCTTCTATATAATGAAAGCACAATATGCAAATTGTCCCCTCCACTGGGAGTTCGTCCAGGAGTTTGACCAGAGGGTGGGGCCTGCTGGGGGCTGGGGGAAGGGAGGGAGGCCCTAGCCTCTGCAGCGGCAGGTGGGGGAGGGGCGAAGGAGGGAGTATCCTGCTGGCATTTCGTGCACTGGGCCTCTAGTCAATGAGAGACAATCATCGGTCACTGAAAACCTGGACATGTGCCCTGACCAGGAATTGAGCCATGACCATCTGGTTCATGGGTTGATGCTCAACCACTGAGCCATACCAACTGGGCAACCCTATTTTCTTTTCTTTTTTAAAATATATCTTATTGATTTTTTACAGAGAGAAAGGGAGAGGGATAGAGAGAGTTAGATCAGCTGCCTCCTGCACACCCCCTACTGGGGATGTGCCCACAACTAAGGTACATGCCCTTGACCGGAATCAAATCTGGGACCCTTCAGTTCACAGGCCGATGCTCTATCCGCTGAGCCAAACCAGCTAGGGCAACCCTGTTTTCTTAAGGCAGTTCATTCTTTGTAGTGCAGTGTCTCAATTTTGCTTAAACCTAACTGTTTAGTGACCTATCTATTAAGGCATTCTAGTTCCATTTTTACTGAAAAGCTGAATTATTTTTTTCCTTTTGTAAGTTCATGTCTGCTCACATGGAGATTTTGAAAGCTATTAACTTACTTGCATAGCATGACAATTACTTCAAGTGGTTATGGTCAGTAAATTTGTATTTAGAATATTGTATAAATAAAGACCCCAATGGACAATGGATCAGTTGCAAGGTTGAAATTAAAGTGCTCTTTATAGAACAATAGAGGATAAAAGGATTCTTGATTCTAGGTAAACATTAGGCTTTCTCCATAACTAATGGACATAAGACACTGGGGGGGTAAGGGAGGGCAGAAGATTGTCAAGGGCGGGGGGAAAAAAAAGGACACATATGTAATACCCTTTGTAATACTTTTAGCAAAAAATAAAAATTAAAAAAAAAACATTAGGCTTTCTATATTCTGTATATACAGTGTTAAAAAAATTGGGTAGGAAAATAATGTGATGATAGTTGTGCTTCAGAAAGTGGGGATGTGCTACATTTTTACAAAATTGAAATGTTTTTTTATAGCACTTAATTTCAGTTTGGATAGCTCATCATCCCATTTGAACCTGAGAGTTGAAGATACCTGTGTAGAGTGGGATCCTACAGGAGGAAAAGGCCAAGAAAATAAAGTTAAAGGAAAAGAGAACAAGGGCAGGTAAGTTAGTTCTTTAAATCTGTTGATTCTTATTTGACAATAACTTATACTGTAATGAAATTCTTATTCTGTATATCAATATGATTTGTGATATGTTAGTAACATGAAAGTGAAACATATAATATTGTTGGTCAGTCCTTGAGTTTGTCACTAACATTTTCATTACTTTTTCTTAGTTTCTTTCCTAGTTCTCTTCTTTCTTAAACGTTTTTATTTCAGTATCCCATTTCTTTAAAGTTATATTTATAGCAACTTGAAGTACTTAGAGAGAAGTTCCTAGTAGTAGTTCCTAAATTTTAGATCACCAGTCTTACCTGAAAGTCTGCCTTGAATGGCAGTTTTTAGCATGCACAACCCCAGTGCCTTGCCCCCCATCAGAAAACTTATGAACCAGAGGCTTGGGACCTTTAGTTGTTGCTAGACTTATTTAGAGTCTCAAAGTATGGGGCCTCTTTCTTTTTTAACAGAGGAAATTTTTCCTCAAACTGAAATAAGGTAATGTCACTATAAGTTACAACAGCAAATAAAAAAAAAGAATTTCCTCATCAGACTTCTGACCTGGTTTTATTATAAGCTGTTAAATTTAAGTCATAAAGCACTCTTAACAGTTGCCTATTTTTATCTGACAGTGCCCATGTTACTTCACTGAAGAAACATACAAGGTGATGATCTTTGTCTAGTTCTAGGACTTAGTATATTTAGCTTGGCTGAATAACTTCAATTTTTTTCCTTTAACCAATAAGCAGAAGCCTTTGCAGCAGCCTTCATAAGCTAAAATATTGCTCTGTGTAGACTGTCTGTATTAGTAGCTTATGTTTTGAATTTACACCCTTAATGTGTGCTGAATATTTAGATTATATTGTATATGATAACAAAATAAACTCTGCTTAAAGTCTTTCTTGAATTATTTTCCCTCATCTGGTTTTTTTCTGCATTTACTTATACCTAGCATCTTTCTTGTTGTGCTATATTCAGTATATCTAACTTCACAGCTTTGCTTTTATTTGTATTTGACACGAGGCAGGTTTGAGGTGTTCTGTATTTTATAATAATCATGCAGTGTTTTAAAGCATCGGGATGAAAAGTAAAGGTTATAAAGTGAAATTATTAGGAAAGTACCAAAAAGATGAATCAATTCAAATTGTACAAGTAATAATGTGCTAATTGGAAGATCAACATATCTTTATCAGAAACCAAAATGTATCCTCTTTTCAAAATTATCTTCCTCTTTTTTTCTAGTTTACTCACTCATTGGCAAAAGTGATTTCATAGTTAGTATATTGTAAATTGTAAAATGCTGCTAGATTTAGTAGTCTGTAAAGTTTCATTTGGTCACTTGGAGATTTTTAGAATTCTTATGTTTAGAATTTCATATTATTTTTCTTTCTCCCTTCCCTCCTTTTAAGAGTATTTTCTATGTAGGCTACTTCTGGGTTATTATATACATTTATTCTTTCCATAAATATTTGTTCACTCTAGGATGTCAGCTGGATATTTTGGGGTTTATAGAGATAACCACTGTCTCTGCCTTCAAGAAAATTTCCCTGACTTAAGTAGATGAGAGATAAATCTATATACAAATACTGTAACAATAATACAAGTGGAGAGTGTGTGTAATGGTAAGTGGGAATAAAGGAATTTACAGGAAGAAAGAGGTTCTGATCTGCCAAGTGCTGAAGTGGTCAATTAGGACACCGAGCCAAACTGAAAGTAACAATCAAGCCTTTTATTCACTGACTATAATCCTGTAAACAAGAGGCCACAAAGGAAAGGTTGCTAGCTCCCCAGTGTTCCATTTTTCCTAACAGAATGAGGTGAGGGTCAGGTAAATCAGAGCAGATCATAGATGGTGGATATCATCTATCTTCTAAGAAAGCCCCAAACAAATGGCTCATCCTGTTGTTAATGGACTGAGGCCAAGAAGATGGAAGAATGGGAAAGGTTAGACATAGAAAAGTATTGAGACAGAGGGGAGAAAAGTGACATTACACCCTCATCCCTTCCCCCTTCTTGTAGGTCCCTGCAGAGGCAGTGGAAAGGGTCTCTGCTGGATCCCCACCAATTAGGGGATCTCTGAATAGAGGTGCCTAAGCTAGGAATGCAGATATGCATATGAGTAGGGATAGGGGCAGGGGATTGCAACTCCTGCAGAAACTGCAGTGAACTGGGTAGTGCTCTCTAGGGGTGAAAGGGCTAGAAAAGCAAATTGGGACCAAATCAAGAACCTGAAATGCCAAACTGAGTTGTGTATAGGCAGTAAGGAAGTACTGGGAAATTTTGAAGTAGGAGAATCACAGTTACATTTATCTGGTAACAGTGAACAAAGTGAATAGGGTAGCAAAGAGATCATTCAGAAGCTGGTAAAACAATCCAGAGCAGAGGTAACAAAGAGCCTTAATTCAGATAGTTAAAGAGATTGGGGGGCATGTTTAACATTAATAGCTGTTGTACTTCGTGCAAAAATGTACTTTGGGTCAGAAGTCTGGAATGCTGTGGTGGCAGAGTTCTTATTTAACTTTTCTCTGAAATTTAAACTGCCATTCTCAGTAGTTACGTCTGTTTTTCTTTTTCCATGCCTTCATTTCTTTACTACTGGTAAGTTATAAATTCTTTGTTTTTAAATGCAGTGATTCAGTATTATTGAAATTTTAAACATCTTTGGGATTTGATTTATTTTAAGTTGTTGAGAGTTAGTGAAAGGTCTAATACTGTCCAGTTTACCATATAATGTAATTTGATGTAAGGGAGGTCAGGTTGGATCTTGTCCATTCTAGTAGGAGAAATGCTTTTTAATACTTGACATTATCCTGTGCGTGGATTTGGGCAATTGCTGTTTCACTTTTTTTTAAAAAATATATTTTATTGATTTTTTACAGAGAGGAAGGGAGAGGGATAGAGTTAGAAACATCGATGAGAGAGAAACATCAATCAGCTGCCTCCCGCACACCTCCTACTGGGGATGTGCCTGCAACCAAGGTACATGCCCTTGACCGAAATCGAACCTGGGACCTTTCAGTCCGAAGGCCAACGCTCTATCCACTGAGCCAAACCGGCTAGGGCACTGTTTCACTTTTTAAGAAGAAAAGATCCAGAACAAGAATATATACTTCTTTAGTTTTTATTGTAATATGCTTATTTTTGCTTCTATTTAAATTTAACTGCAAGAAATGTAAACTATAAAAACTCATCTTGAGTTCTTTTTCCCCCCTTTGTATCTGATTTCATTTTGGCATTGTTTCTTATTTCAACTGTGTATTCTTTGTGTAAGCCTTGCTCAGTCTGCATGATATTAGTGTTTTTGGCTTGCTTTGTGTTGATGACTTCTTATACGTGAGTGTTTATCATTGACAACTCTTTGTAATAATTCATGTAAAATTAAATGGTGCTATTTGTGCAACATAATTTTTAAAACTTTCCAAAGGTACCTTTCGTAATTTGTAATTTTAGTTTATGAACCATTTACATCGAATATATGCTTTTCTTTTTGTTCCTCTTTTTGTAGAAGTGGGACACCATCCCCCAAACGGACGTCTGTAGGCTCCAGGCCACCTGCAGTAAGAGGCAGCAGAGATCGTTTTACTGGGGAATCATACACAGTGCTGGGTAGGGTAAATACAGTTCTTCGTTATCTTATAGTAAAGGCCTCACAGTCATACTGGTGGACTGTCTACTCACCGAGAGCTGGAGTGATTGCCTCTGGTGAATGAATCTTTGCTGAAGTTTCTCCCTCTTGAAGCCTAATTACTTTGACAGGTTTTCAAATTGTCTTATTATTGATATGTTTAAAACTTACTTAATTTTACATAGTACTGCACATATAGGTATAACTCTTAAGGGGATAGTAAGAAGGAAAAGTTCTGAAGCTTTTTATATTCAGAAAAATTAGTTAATAAGAAATATATAAGTAAAATGTTAACATCCTGAATCAGATTTTTGTGCCATTTTATGGGACAAGAGATAGGTACAAATCTCTGTGACTCACAAGGAAGAGGTAAGAGTCAAATTTGCCTTCTGGTCTTTTGCAGGAGACACTGCTATTGAAAGCGGACAACATTATTGGGAGGTCAAGGCCCAGAAGGATTGTAAATCCTATAGTGTGGGAGTAGCATACAAGACTTTGGGGAAATTTGACCAGTTAGGAAAAACAAACACTAGTTGGTGTATTCATGTCAACAACTGGCTACAAAACACATTTGCAGCAAAGCATAATAACAAAGTCAAAGCCTTGGATGTTACTGTTCCTGAGAGAATAGGTGTATTCTGTGATTTTGATGGGGGTAAGTTTACTGATTTTCTCACAATTTATTTCACCATAGTTGCTTATATTTCAGTACTTTTCACTGGTAATCATCTATAGAGAATTTCCATTAACATTGTAGTAAGGATATTTTGACCTCTCAGGATTTATTTGATCATAAGCATAATTTCAGCTCCAGAATTATCTGGAAAGGTGAGTGATGTCTACCTGCAGCCCTACAGAAGCACTCGTCTATAATATACTAATTTAGTCTGAAAGGAAAAATTTGCTAATTTTAGTCTTAAAGCTAAACTTTATTTTGTTCATTTTAATTCCTTCTTACCTTGTTTTATTACCTATGAAGAGTGGTGGAGTCAGATTTTTCTAGTTGGGGTAGACCTTAGTAATTACCCAATATATCTACTAAACAGTGTAAAATCCTTTTTACAATATCTCTGCAAGCAATTTCCACTTCTGTGCTTGATGAACCTTCTTATGTGAAGTTTATGTCTTAGAAGGCAGCCTCTTTCATTGTTAGATAGCATTTGGTTAGAAGGTTTTACTTAAATTGACTCGCTTTGTCTTCTAATAACTTCTGAGACTGTTGCTCTTAAATTTTGTCATCTTAAGAAATACAGAATTATGTTCCCTAATTCACATTTACAAGATAATCCTTATTTACTTAAAAACTATTAATACTGCTGCTTTTGCCCTGTTTTTCCCAGATTATACATTCTCTGACCATTAACCATTCTTCTTATTTAATTTTTTCAAACCCTAATTGCCTGTGGTTGTATATTAAATTAATACATTTCTTTTAAAGATTGATTCTCAAAGTAGTACACACAACTTCTGGCCATCATAGGGCAGTGATTTGACAGCATAGTTTCTAGCACTATGTCATTTTTGTTTATTTAAAAAAATTTTTTCACTGTAGCCGGTTTGGCTCAGTATGAGCCTGCGGACTGAAGGGTCCCGGTTTGATTCTAGGTTGCCGGCTCAATCCCCAGTGTATGTGCTTGTGTGGGGGGAGGGGGGAGTCATGCAGGAGGCAGCCAATTGATTATTCTCTCTTATCATTGATGTTTCTCTCTCCCTCTCCCTTCCTCTCTGAAATCAATAAAAATATATTTAAAAATTAAAATAAATAAATAATTTTCCCCCAATTACAGTTTACATTAAACATTATTTTGTATCAGTTTCAGATATATAGCATAGTGGCCAGACAGTCACATACCCTACAAAGTGTTCCCCCCACTATTTCCAGTTCCCAACTGGCACCATACACAGTTATTATAACACTAGAGGCCCGTGCATGAAAATTGTGCACTCAGGGGGTCCCTCAGCACAGCCTGCACTCTCTTGCAGTCTGGGAGCCCTTGGGGGTGTCCAACTGACGGCTTAGGCCTGCTCCCCTAAGCCATCAGTCGGACATCCTTAGTGCTGCCGAGGCTCCTGCCACTGCTGCTGCGTTCACCGGTCATGAGCCCGACTTCTGGCTGAGTGGGTGCTCCCCCTGTGGGAGCACACTGACCACCAGGGGGCAGCTCCTGCATTGAGCATCTTCCCCCTGGTGGTCAGTGTGTGTCATAGCAACTGGTTGTTCCACTGTTCTGTCGATTTGCATATTAGAGTTTTATTATATAGGATTGCCTGGAAAGAGCTTTGTACATAGTAAGCCCTTAATAAGTGTTTGCTGAGTGATTAGTAGGGCCTGAGCAGTGAGGAATCAAGAATGGATTTGCTGTCCTAGCCGGTTTGGCTCCGTGGATAGAGTGTCAGCCTGTGGACTAAAGGGTCCCAGGTTTGATTTCGGCCAGGGGCATATGCCTGGGTTGCGGGCTTGATCCTCAGTGGGGGGCATGCAGGAGGCAGCTGATGGATGATTCTCTTTCATCACTGATGTTTCTATCTCTCTATCCCTCTCCCTTCCTCTCTAAAATCAGTAAAAATATATATTATAAAAAAAAAAAAAAGGATGGATTTGCTGCCCTGGCTGAATGTCTCAGTTGGTTAGAGTGTTTTCCTGTACACCAAAAAAAGGTTACGGTTCAAATCCCAGTCAGGTCACATACCTAAGGTTGTGGTTCGATCCCCAGTAGGGGCATGTATGGGAGGTAACCTATCGATGTTTCTTTCCCTCCCTCCCTCTCTCCCTCCCTCTCTCCTTCCCTCTCTCCTTTCTTTCCTCCCTCCCGCTTCTTCATTCTAAATATCACTTTTAAAAAACATCCTTGGGTGAAGATTAAAACATAACAATAAAAGAAAAAGAATGGATTTGATGGTATGAAGGTAGAATTCATAGAACTTGAAAACTAAATATGGATTGGAGGGATAGACAAAGAAGAGTTGAAGATGACTGAGTTTCCAGCCAGGGTGAACAAGAGGATGATAGTGTTATCAGTAGGAAAGAGAGAGTCCTGGAGAAATATGAGATGCCAGCAGGACAAACTATGGCATGTCTGGCAATATTTAAAAATTCAGTGTTAGAACTCAGAAGAAAAGCAGAGCCGAAGCTAATTATTAGAGACAGCATCACAGAGTGGCTACTGAAGATTGCACAGAACAACTAAACATTCCTGCTTTACTGTTTATCAACTTTGTGACCATCTCAGGCTGCTTAATATTTTGAGGTAAAACACCCAGTGGTTTTTTTGTTTGTTTTGTTATTGATTTCAGAGAGGAAGTGAGAGGGAGAGAGAGAGAAACATCAATGATGAGAGAGAATCATTAATCAGCTGCCTCCTGCATGACCCATACTGGGGATTGAGTCAGTAACCCGGGCATGTGCACTGACCAGGAATTGAACCGTGACCTCCTGGTTCATAGGTTGATGCTCAACCACTGAGCCATGCCTGCTGGGCAGCACTCAGTGTTTTAATAGTAGGATAAATGTTAGTTTCATTTCTTCTCTGGTGGCAGCAGATTCTTAAAAGAGAAAGGAGAGCCTGGACCAGCATCTACATTTAGAATAGGGAAAAAGAGTAGATATCCTCAGGGTTAGGGTACAAACCAAGAGCATAGTCATGGATAAGAATTTGAAGAAGTGATATCAGTTGTAAGGAGGCCATCAGATTGGACAGTTAGGTGGTCAAATAGACCATTATTTTAATTGCATGATCATATTGAAAGATAGACTGTGAGAGGATTTTAAAAATCAACAAAGCTGAAGCCATGATAACTACACTATGATTTCAGAGACTGAGGTATGACTATGGCTTCAAGTAGTTAGAAGACAAAGTTTAATAGAGTAAACTTTAAATGGTGATAGGATTTGGGTAGAAACTAGTTATAGTAAAAATGAGGAAGAAATCACCTTAGTTTTTACAGGGGAACCACTTGTTAAATAATGATAAGGAAATAGTTTATAGTTGAATAAGTAGAATACTGCCAGATTAAGGAAGCACTCTGGAGATCTTGAAAATCAGGGAAACAGAACTGGATTTTGACTTTTTCTTAAGCATGTTTTCTACTGATTTTCAGTAAGAAATTATTAAGTCCAGCCATTATAGTTTGTAGCAAAAACAATTAATGTCAAAATATGCATTTAGTTGCTACTTTTATGCATGATTTATGTGAGCCTTAATTAGATGTTATAATATTTTGTATAATCAGGTTTTTTTCTTTTCCTTTTAGGTCAACTTTCTTTCTATGATGCAAACTCAAAACAGTTGTTGTATTCCTTTAAGACAAAATTTACTCAGCCAGTACTACCTGGTTTCATGGTGAGTACCTAATTTATATTTTATTTGGTTTGGCAACTTTAAGAATAACATATTGGGAAGTAGAATATCTTATTTTTTTCTTCATATTCCCCTCCTTTTCACCAATCCACTTCTTAAATCTGTGATTGTCCGTGTATTTTTGTTATATTTTGTTGAAGTAAATGATAATACATAAAAGGACACAAATCATAAGCATGCAGTTTGATGACTCCTCATAGGATTGTGCTCATTTTTGTAACCAGCATCTAGATCAAGAAGTGGAACATTGCCAGAATCTCATAAGCCCCTTTTGCCCATTTGCAGCCCTTACCGCCCTTCTCCACAGAGGTTACTATCTTGAATTTTAATACCAAAAATTTTGCCTCCTTTCCAATTTTATGTAAATAGAATCATACAATATCTTTTGGCTCAACATCATGGTTGTGAAGTTTATCCATGTGATTATATGTGGTGGTAGTTCACTCATTCTCATATAGTTTTCCATTATATGACTGCCATGTAATTTATTTATTCTAATTTAGTTGGATACGTGGGTAGTTTCCCTTTGGGGTCATTTATAAATAGATCTGCTATGAATATTCTAGTTCATGTCTTTTAGTAATGCATATGTTTTTTATTGGGTATATAACTAGGATTGGGGTTGTTAGATCATATGGTATGTGATCAACTATAGTAGAGTGTTTCAAAGTCACTAGTTATACTGATTTACCATTAGCAGTATTTGAGAGTTTGAATTCCCCCACATCTTGAATAACACTTGGTATTGTCCTTTTTTATATTAGTCCTGATAGTCTTATAGTCCTTTTATATTTAAGTCTTTCTAGTTCTTCCATATTACATTGTGATTTTCATTTGCACTTCCTTGCTGTTGAACACCTTTTTATGTGTTTATTGACTATTTGAATATACTCATTTGTGAAATGATTGTTCAAGTCTTTTGCCTGTATTTCCATGGGTTTTCTTCCTATTTTTTATTGATTGATTGGAGTTCTTTATACAGTCTGAGTCCTTTGCCAAACATATGTATTATAGATATCTTCTCCACTCTGGCTTTCCTTTTCCCTCTTTTATTAGTGTCTTTTTAACTTTTTAATATATTTTTTAAATTGATTTCAGAGAGGAAGGGAGAGACAGACAGAAGCATCAAGGGTGAGAGAGAATCATTGATTGGCTGCCTCCCGCATTCCCCCCACTGGGGATGGAGCTTGCAACCCTGGCATGTGCTCTGACCAGGCATCAAACCGTGACCTCCTGGTTCACATGTCAATGCTTAACAACTGAGTCACACCAGTTAGGCTTAATTTTCTTTTTTAAAGTCAGGTTTATTGAGGTACAATTTATAATAGCATACAGCTCTATGGGATTTGACAAATGCATACAGTTGTATAACCACCACCATAATTGACATAGAACATTTCATCACCTTAGAAAATTCCTTCATGCTCCTTTGTAGTAGACATTTCCTGTCACACCCAGCCCTGGCAATCACTAACCAGTTTTTAGTCCCTAAAATTTTGCTTTTTCCAAAATATCATAGAAAGGAATTGTATGGTTTGTAGACTTTCCCCCCCCGCATTGTTGGCACTATTACAGATGCTCTCTATTTCCCCACCTTTACCCACCTCCACCCAGCTCCCACACTTCCCTCCCCAGCCATCACCACACTATTATCTGTATCCATGGGCTATGCATATATGTTCTTTGGCTAATCTCTTCTCCTCCTTTTATCCATTCCCCCTTCCCTTTGCCCTCTGAGATCTGTCAGTCTGTTCTATGGATCCATGCCTCTGTTTCTATTTTGTTTGTCAGTTTACTTTATTCATTAAATTCCATATATAAGTAAAATCATATGGTATTTGTCTTCCTCTGACTTATTTCACTTAACATAATAATCTCCAGGTGCACCCGTGTACATTTGAAATTCATCTGTGTTGTTGTATTTGTCAGTAGCCCCATTTAAAAACAAACAAACAGGTTTTTATTGATTTTAGAGAAAGAGGAAAGGAGAGGAATAGAGAGATAGAAACATGGATCGAGTATCTCCTGCACGCCCCCTACTGGGGATCGAGCCCACAAACTGGGCATGTGCCATGACGAGGAATCTAACCAATGACCTCTTGGTTCATGTGTTGACGCTCAACCACTGAGTCACGCCTGCTGGGCTGTAGCCCTTCTTTTTTATTACTAAGTAGTATTCCAAATATGTATGTACCACAGGTTTTCATCCATTCACCAGTTAAAGGACATTTGGATATTCCAGTTTTTGGCAATTCTGAATAAAGGCACTGTAAACATTCACTGCTCTCTGTTCTCAAGCAAAGCAGTTTTATCTTTCATAGACTCATTCATATTTCTGATAATAAATAGAATATGACAAGTGTATGTGGATATTGCTATTTGGATTTTTATTTTTCTCAGAAGTCTTTACAAAATTATAAAAGCGTTATTACTGTTACATTAGGGAAGAAACTAATGGATTTTACTGTTAACGGGAGGGTGTTAGATTCCTATAGTCTCAAGGCACACCTCATCAAAATCTAAAGTTGTTACTGGGATAAGGAAGTTGGCTCTTTGTGCACTTCTCTTAGTTGTGAAAGTTAGCATCAGTAATGATAGCCAACTCCTTCTGCCTAGATTAATCCAGTTTAACCTCTACATTTCTGCAGCCCTTGGGTCCCTGTCTTGTGTGCAGCTCCAGGGGGTTCTGCTACCACAAAGACTCCCTCTGGCTTCTGTGATTCTAAAAGACTCTTGAGTAAGCCTTTTCACTTCCCCTCAGTTCAAATATGAAGGTTATCAGTTTACAACTTACTGATGTTCACATATGTGGCATTTTGCCTTTCAGATGGAAATTTAAGGCTCATTTAAATTCTAATTTGATTTGAAATCTGACTGAAGTTTTGTTTCTGTCTTTTCTTAGGTTTGGTGTGGTGGACTTTCTTTGAGTACTGGGATGCAGGTTCCAAGTGCTGTGAGAACACTTCAGAAAAGTGAAAACGGCATGACTGGTTCAGCTAGCAGCCTAAACATTGTTACTCAGTAATGCCTACTCAGAATGCTTCACCCCTCCTTCTGCTTGGGTGGTCTAATCATAGAAACTTGTGAGTGGTGGAAATGAGGTTTGCTGCGTTCTGCTTTAAGGCCTGGAATCTGTTAGCATTAAGCATCCAGTACCACGTATTCAAAGGAACCTACTGTGCAATGTCATAGAAGCAAGCAGAGATTGAGCAAGAAACTGATATTTTGAAGAGCAAATGGAGAAAAAGGCAGTATTTCAATAGTTACTTGAATAGAAACTCATCTTTGTGTTTCTTGGATTACTTTGGCTCTTAATATATTTAGTTACATATGGTAGCCCTAGGGCCTGAAGAAAAAGCATTTAAATCTTGCCTTTTGTCTTTATTTTTTTTTTCTCTTATCACTGCAAATCATTTAGTTCTTACACTGAAGCTTTTAAAAATATACAGTCCTCTGAGGTTCCCAAAAAAATAAAATTGGTTGGGGATTCTAGACAGGTTTTCTTACAATGATTTGTTTTCCCCCTGTTATAAATAAGTTGAGTTTTGCCAAATTATCCTCTTTTGTTTTATTGACTAAAATATATATAATTTTCAGTTTTCTAAATGTCGTGGTATTTTTCTTGTGGTTATAACTCAGAATAAAGAGTGGATAGAAAGAGTTTCTAGACATAATAGCTTAAAATCACCCAAATTTCAGTGTTTTACCTGCTGCACTAACAATAGCAAAGGATATTCTTTATATGTTGCCCTATTTAATTAGACTGCTTTTCATTCCATCGTTTTGGATGATGGGTACGATTTTTAAAAGCTTTATATTTTCTGATTTTGCTATCTAGTTAACACTATCTTTAGTAGTTATCTTTGGTAAAATTCCCACTTGGATTTGGTAATAACTGATAATACTTATACTGATTTTTAACATTTTTAGTAGGAAGAATGTTTATTAAAGTTATATAGAAGGTGGAAAACCTACACTACTCAAATTTTACCTAAGAAAGATAGGCTCTAAAGGGAGGTGCCTAAAACTATCCTTTACTGGTCATTTATATATGCTTTTGATAAGATATGGAATGGTTTAAACAAGTATTTTTGGGGGAAAAAATCTATCTCTGACTTATTTGGCATATAAGTTTTTCAGTCTTTACTTAGAAAAAAATCAACATAGAATAATCTTCCCCAAAGTTAGGAAAAATGTGTTAACAACTAGTGAAACCCATGGTTATTGAGAGCATATCTGTTTTTTAAAAGTTGATTAAAATTTATAACACAAATCCTTTGAGCCAAACTGAAAGTTGTAATTACAGTAGTATTTAAGAATTTCTTGAGTGTTTTAAAGAGATCTGAATTGGTATGTTCCTTAATTTTTGGAACATTTTAACATTCATTCTCATTTTAAGTATGTTGTACTATGACAACCTTCTTCCAAGAAGTGACCGACGTTGCTTACATTACAGTTGCTATCCACAGAAAGGCCTGCGGAATAGGAATAGCTCATTCTTTCTTAAATTTTATGGCTTACTGATAGGATGTTTTGTTCATTTTGAAACAAATCTAAATGAGGAATTTTATTTGAACTGGGTATTGTTTTTACAGAGGTCATTCATATCTGCACCATTGTCTGATCATATATTTAAAAGTATAAAGACTATGAGGGAGTTTCGAGAATGAAATATATTAATAGATATTCTTTTGATTCTTCAAACAAATATAATTTTGGTTTTTGTTTCTCCAAGATTTCGATAGAAATTTTTGGATGTTCTCTTTCCTATAGCAGGTTATCCAGGACCTGAGGAAACAGGAAGTTATAATTATCTTCCACAGAGTCAAACCTGAAAACAGTAATTTAGTGGTGGAGCTGCTTTTTGTGAACTGTTATACATGTATATTTTAGCAAAAATGACACAGAAAAAGCCAGAAATTCTTGTATAAAATTGTTTACTATTATGTCTTATATAAATGTGTCTTCTCTTTAATTCAGTGCCTTCTTCCTCTAAGGATGCTCTTTTTTACTCCATGTCCCATATCCCATTCAGTGTCAACTGATACTGAAGCCAGAGGCCATTATGTTAAACTGGTGAGGGCTTCTATTGCAGGGGCATGGGGAAAGGAGATACTAATCAGGGGCTGCTAGAGTGCATATGATTCTTTCCTGTACTCATGCCATCATTTGAAACCCGTCATAGAAAATTCTCTAATTCTCAATTGGAAAATTCACTTGAAGTAATACTATTATTCAGAATATGAATCTGAGGTTTACTTACCTCTTACTGTGCTTCTTAAAGGTCTCTAAAAGAAAAGAGCAAAATGTGTGGGGTTTTGGTTTAGTTGTTTATAAGTTTATTTGTGTTAAACTGGAGAAAATTTGCCACCTTCATTTTCACACTGGAGTAAAATGAACTATAGTGCCTAATTAAATAGTCTCAAATTAATGTAACTATTTCAACTTGACTATATATATATATATATATGTCATTGACATTTAAATTAAAAATATTGAGCTCTTTTGCTCAATTTAATACATTGTGTTTAGTTGGTATACCCTTTCAAACATTCTTTATTGGTTTATTTACTCTTTGTTTTGATAGGTCAAACATGATTGCTTTCTGTAAAAGAAATGCATGAGAGGTTGACAGTAATGGATGTATCACAGGTCTAAAACAATTGTGTTTTATAAAAACATGCTTTTAGTATTATATTTCTCTTTTAGCAGTTGAATCCCAAACCAGTTTTAGTAAATTGGATAAAGAAATGAAGGAATTGCCTTAAGCACTTTAGAAATCTTTTATAATTCATTTTGATTCTTTGGGCTGACCATGTAACATACATCTTTAATTTTTGGTAAATATGTATATACCAAACATTTAATGACTGCACATAGAAATTTAATATACAGTGATTCTTTGAATGTTCCCAGTGTAGGTAAACAAATGGGAAATATTAGAGGCATGCCTGTCTGTACATGGGTTTAATTGATGGCATGTGTACCGTTATGACAAACAGTGAACTGCTGCTGTACAGCTAAACTTGGCCTACTTTGTTCTATAAACAGTTTTTCCCGTGTTATCATCAAAAGAAACATATTGGCTTAGTTTTATTGACTCATTTATGAAATTAAAACATGAACAATATCATGTATCATTTGAATTTTTGTGACTTTCATGACTTACCTAGAATGATTTTTTTCCTATATACTTTTTCCATAAAGTTATCGTTATTTATATTGTTTGTTTCTTTCGGAAACATAGGTTAACAATTGGAAAAGGATATTATGAAAAGTGATTACTTCAAAGAGTACTCATTCAGAAGAGGAAAGTGTAGACTTCTTACTATAAATTATGTGGTTCCAGGCTGAAAAATCTAAGAACTATATTTTCAAATCATAACAATTCTTTTTCAGAAAGCTTATATTTATTAGATCAGTGTTCATTCTTTGGCTAAGAATACCACAATTATTTTAAGTCTGTGATGTGGCAGTCATACTTTGTATTCAGATTTCCAAAATTAATGAAGTTTGATTTACTGTGCATATAGTTTTGCTGCTTTTGGGTAGTGTAATGACAAAGTTTGCATCTTAAAAATCAGAAATTTTAAAAGGTAAATGTGTTATAGTTTGTTAAAAAATTCAAATTTTGATAAGCACATTACACATAATATGTTCATTTTTATGTAATCACATAAAATAGATCTGTAAAAGTTTCTCCCTTGATTTTATCTTTACACTGGATATATTCTTTTAGGGAAGTGAATGGTCAGCATAAGTTTACTCAACATCCAAGTAACCATAAAGTAATTTGTTATTTTTAAACAAAATGTACATTTCATAATGCCAGTGCTAGAGCATTATGAGATCGTGAATGTTTCTTTAATCATCACAGAAAGCATACCTCATGTTCAGTGTAGTTTTAGTTGTTTGTATTTTACAGTATTCACATTATGCCAATATCTGTGATCCTGATATGTCACCTGTGATAGCTTTGTTACTTGGAATATTTGATTAATGCAAATACTTTAGTTTTTTTGGAGTAATTTGGAGTTAAACAGATTACATTTATTATATTTTGTTTTTGCTGAAAAGATAGTGTTGGGCATACCATATAAAGGTTAGTATTGGCTTATAAATACCAGAGATTGCCATAGTACTTTCTCCTCAGACTACTCAATTAAATTAAAACAGTATTTACTATTTCTGGGTCAATATAAGGTAATAACTTTTGATTTATACCATTTGAGCTATGTTAGTTTAAACTATATATTTTCTTAATGGCACCCATTCAGTAAAAGCTGGTCCTTTGGAATAGACATACATAAGATTTCACAGTATGTAGGGCAGAAGGTAGGTGAATGTGTTCACTTTGGCTTGGAGCTTAAGTTTAGACCTTTTTTTAAGTCAAAATGTAAGTAATTGGTAAAAGGCATTTCTATTCGTATTGGAACTTTTTGGAGAGCCTAAGGCTCTGAGAATAATGCATTTTGCTTTTGTTTTTTTGTTTAACCTTCCCAATATCTCTTAGGTACCAAAGCACTGAGTCTAGTTTACCTTTTAAGGGAGACTCTTTAAAATCAAATTTATACCTAACTCATACTGTAAGATAAATAATAGCTAAAGTTTTAAAGTAATTTATATTAAAAACCACTAGTCTTTAAAATTTCTCAATATAAAAACATTTGGCTTCATTTTTTAAAAAGTATTTAAAATTAATCACCTTAGCTCTACCATACACTAGATCTATATCCTCTATATAAATCATTTCTCATCTTTGGGCATCCATTGCCTTACATCTCACTCAGCCTACCTCACAGGGCTGTTGTGAGGAACAAAATGAAATGGAGTATATGAAATTGCTTCAACAACAGTAAAATGCTACATAAATGTAAGGGATTATTTTCAGTAAATAATGGATTTAAATGTTTGGATATTTCTAGATGCCATTTACTTTGATAAAGCATGTGCTTAAAGTGGTATCACTAGGACTTTAAACATGATTTAAAAAAAAAAAAACCCTGACTACAGTGCCCTTTAACATTCTTTCGTTTGCATGATGTGGCCTTTTTGTATTTTCTCCTTAGGCCTGTACTCTGTATCAACTCTCTATAACTGTAAAATGTCTCCCACAGCATTAGTGTGTGTTGCTGTAGAATAGTAGCATAAATAAATGATCTAAGCTATGTTTCCATCCAGGCATTTGCACTTTCAGTTTATGACTCTTCAGTGCCACGTATGCAAAGACTGAATTTGGCCTAAGTAAGTATTTCCAAGCAACCAAATGGTTAAAGTTTGTTGTCATTGGATAAATGATTTAAGGTGTATGTGCCCATTTAACATTAGACTTTTGTTGCATTGTCATTAAAACAACAACAACATGAACCTGGATATCATTTAGTGTCTCTCCTAAGAAAAATTGTTTTGCTTTAAATTGGATTTATTAAATGGTTTACATGTTATCTTTATTTATAGACTATTTGGTATGTTATCATCTGGACATGGTTTTGCTATGCAGTTCTGATAATCAAAATCCTAATTCCTCAGGTTAAAATTTTAAGTTGTGGATGAAAAACATGAACTACTTATAATACACTCAGTGCTGCAAACTAGTGTTTTAAAACACATATTGCCTCATTTTCCTTGGAAACAAGACAAAGCCTTTTAAATGGTTTTTAACTTTAAAATGGTGTATTCAAAGTGGAGTAATTTGTACGTTGAAATGATTGTGTGCTCTGTGTAGAATGACCAAGTTAAATTCTTAGAAAAGCACCTGGAATATCTCATCTAAAAATTAAACTTCTTTTTCTGCTTTCTTTGGCTTCAGTGCGTGCATTTTATCAGTTCTCATTAAAAATATACAATGTGCTTTTGAGGATGACAAAAAAAAGTCATAGTTCCTTTGCACCCAAAGGGGCACTACTTTCAACAGAATTTCATGCAATGATGGAAAGTTCTGTGTAGCTGCCGTTTTAGGACAGTGCAGCTATTGATGGAAGGTGAAACATGCTTGGAGTTAGGGACTTTGGAGCTTGTCACATCTCAGATTGCAGGTCGATGGTAGCTAAGAGTAAGAACTAGAACCTAAAACTTAAAATGTGTATTCTAACATTAAATCAATTTAGGAGAAAAAAGAAAACCAATCAGTGGCTAGATGAAGCTGGAGCTCCTGTAACTAAGATCATTTTCACCAAGAGAAGAATGAAGGGAAACTAGATAGTCTTGAGTCATAGGGAGAGGAGTGTGATAAAGATATTGAGAAACCAGTAGCCTCATATTAAAGATGGAGGGTGAATTGCGGCAAGATTTCTGGAGAACAATTTAGCAATAGCGAGAGTTTAAATACACTTACCTTTGACAATGTAATTCCATTTCTAGGTATTTCTCATAGATATACTCACTATGATGGCAAATACAAGCAAACTAATTGTTAACTGAAAAAAGAATGGGCGACTTGTATTCCGAAGGCTCCCCTTTTCTGACTTGCTGCAGTAGCAAGCTCCTGTTGCTATGTATTTGTTCAGGTATATTCTGCCTGTCATCGTCCCCCACCCCCAATCCATAAATGTTAGAAATATGTAGACCATTATGGGAAGTGCTATCCCTAGCTGGATCTCTGTGGGATAAGAGCTCAGGAAATTGTGTGCCCTCTACTTTTCTGTTTCCCTTACTACGCCCTATTTCATAGTTACACCACATGGTACTAGTAGTATGTTTATGCTCCTTTTGCAGAAGGTTGCTGGGATGATTAGATTGTGGAATTTTCAAGAAACTTTACACAGCTGTTACAGAATATGCTTTTAATGGAAGAGTATTCATGATATGAAATGGAAAAAGCAAGTCTAATATATATTATGATACCGTGAGCATATTCATGCACTAAGACTTGGGCAAGAAGAGTCCCTGCCCTGCTCCTCACTCTGGTTGTTCCTCCATGGAATGAAAAAGTGAAGGAGCCAAGGGATTGCACCCACTCAGAGTTTGCATTCCTCTGCGTAGAATTCCCTGCTGAACCAACCCAAAGCTTGCTTCCAGAATACATGCAGGTCTCTTTCCCAGGTCCATCCTGAAGACAATGCTCTATAGGTGTATACACCTCCATACTTAAGGGGTGGGAGTTTGTGAGGAGTGTGGCTTAGTAATGCAGACTGAGGAGTCCACATGCATGCATACCAGGGCCCTTCTGGCAAAGGTGAAGTTAGAAGTAAATGAAGACAGACCCAGGGGCTTGGGGGAAGAACAGGCTAATCTAGTTTATTCTTACCTGTTTAGACACTTTAAAATGTCAGGGTTGGCCTCCATTTGTACTCTTGCTTCAGGCCCTACAGTGTTGGGTAGTCTAGGATGTGTGTGTGCCCTGCAACTGAGTGATTTTTAAAAGATGAATGTTTGCTTATAATAAAGGCAGTTTTTACCCATCCTTGTACCCCTCCTTCAACTGGATTGGCTAACCAGATTGAAGCATACTGACTAGAAGGCTCACTGCAGACTCCCCCCTAGTATCCTGGAGAAGTAAGTTGTATGTTTACCTCTAGTGAATTATTCCCAAATCTGTTTATGCCAGTAGCAGTCATTGCTGTAATTATGTTAAATATTACATAATCCAATGAAATATGAGTATGAAAAATTATGAGGAAAGTTGGGGAAACTTTAGAGATGAAGATCTAAGAATTGTAAATGATAGGGAGGACTGCAAAAAAGAAAAATCTAAGACTCTCAGTTCAGATTCTTTCACTTGTATTTTTAAGTTCCAGGTCCACTTTAAAGAAACACACTAAAAATTATAGATGATACATTATGTCTGTGATTTACATAAGAAAAAACAGAAACTCCAATCCGTTGACCCATGCTTAAAAAGACAGCTCAAATCAAAATATTGGCCAGTGTAAACACTCTGCTTTAACTGTCTTTTTTAGATTTACATGGAACAAATACCTTGAAAGGTATTTACTTGTAAGAACCTAATGATTAACCCCCTCCCTTTTTTATGTGAAAGCTAGAAGGGATCTTATCTTTTTTAAAATATATTTTTATTGATTTCAGAGAGGAAGGAAGGGGGAGATAGGGATAGAAACATCAGTGATGAGAGAGAATCATTAATCGGCTACCTCCCACACACCCCTCCCCACCCCCGCGTCGATGCTCAACCACTGAGCAACACTGGCTGGGCTATTTTCATATTAATTTTTATTACACAATTTTCAAACATACAGAAAAGGAGAGGCTATTAATGAATAACTTTATGCTCGTCGCCTAGATTTATCAGTTGTTAAAGTTTGCTATTCTTTAAGGTATCTAAAAATGACATGGATAAGTATTGCAATATGCATCAATGATTATTTTTTAAGCACAGCCACACTGTTAACATTCTTAGTAAAATTAACAGCAATCCTAATATCATCTAATGACTGAGTACATGTTAAAATTTCAGTTGTCTCAAAATTGTTTGTGTGTTTTTTTTATGGTGGCTTTCAACAAATTAGGATCCAGACAAGGTCCACACATTGTATTTGGTTATATGTCTCTTAAATCTCTGATTTTGTAGTAGCTTCCCCCCTTGTTAAATGCTGGTCACTTCTCTATACCGGACATTAAATCTAGAGTTTTATTAAATGTAGATTCAATTTTTAGACAAGAATCCTTTACAGGTGATGTGTATTTTCTGTTGCATCGCATTAGGACTTACATAATGTCTGGTTGTCCCAGATTTAATGGTAAGATTAATCAGTGGGTTCAGGTGATGGCAGCCTAATTCATCTACTAAAAAGTTGCTCATCAACATTTCACCTTAATTTTAGCATCTATTGATGAGTATTGTCCTTTGTATTATTTCATTGGAGTAACAAACTGGTGTTTGTTCAATCATTCATTATTTATCAGATGTGATTTTCATTAGCATTTTGGTTACACTGAAATGCAATTCATACAAGAAAGGCAGGATGAATACTTATTTTTTCCTTTATCAAGTTTCAGGATAATGAGTTGGTGGCCTGGAAACTTTCAAATATGACTAAGGAGTTTCAGTTTTAAGAAATCATTATGAAGCAAAAATTTTTATATATTTGATGTGTTTCAGTCAATAGCAGTTACTCATTTGGATGCTCAAAATTTCCCATTTTAGGTCCCTAAAGTTAACACCTGTGTCCGATGGTCCCATTAGTGTGATAACTTCCTCCTCCTGGATGTCACCTACATTTTTTATTAACCTACCAACAAAAAGCTCTAAGAATACAGAAAAACTAGTTCTCAGTAATGAGGACTTCTCCAGAAGAAGCTTGTACGTACACAAATTTCCTGGAAGGAAAAACAAACTGCTATAGGTCATAACCCTTGGAAATAGGAAAAAGATTTTTCATTTTTTATACTCTTCCAAAAGTCAGTTTAGAAGACAAATATATGAGGGGAGTATTTTCAGTTTTTACTATAAGCTGATAATTTTTGTAGAAATGACTACCATTTAATGCGTTATAGTTTCCAAAATTCACGCAAAAGTTGATTGACAGCTGGTCTTTTGGATTAATTACACTGTTAGAAGGTAGAGAGCCGGTTCCGGAACCGCGTGCGTGTCCATCCCAGACCGAACCGGGTCCACCAGCCGCGGGAGCGTGGGAGCCGCGCGTGCCCTTCAACCTCCTGAGCAACGAAAACGCAGCTGCGGGTTCCCCCGCACCCATCGCACCTGAGGGCCCCAATCCGCAGGCAGGGGTTATCCTGGAAAGTACTCCTCGTTTACCTGGAACTCACATTGAACTGGCAGCCTGTGCTTTCATCTGCCAACAGCTCGGCAGGTGCCTCCCCAGTTCTCGGGCCGCTCCCTAAAGGCGCGGGCCGCCTCGGTGCCGGCTGTGGTTGCCGCGACGACGGGGGAAGGGCCTTAGCCAGGACGTCGCCCGGGCTCAGCCCTGCCCTCTGAGGGGGGGAGGCCTGCAGGAGTCGCGGACGCGCCGAGGCGGGCGGGGAAGGTGGGAAGGCCTCCGACACCCACCAGCCGCGCGCCCGCCGCCCCGCACTTGACGGCCCCTTTTGCAGCAGTTGCCGTGAGTGCCGTAAAGCAGTTACCACCGCCGTCGGTGAGGTAAGAGACGGGAGGCTCTGCGGAGTCGCCGGGGATGGGCGGGTGTGTCAGGCAGGTGTCGCCTGGGGCTCGGGTGTCCTCGCAGGGCGTCCCCCGGCGGTCGGGGCGGGCCCCGGGGTGAGCGCGCTCCGGGAGGGGGCCCCTCGCGGTCGGTCCCCGAGCGCCCCGTGGCGGACGTCCCCTCGGGCGGACCTTCCCACGCTCCGGTGCGTGTCAGCAAGTAAAATCCTCGGAGTGGGACGGGTTCCGTCGTGGGGGGCGACCCAGACCCTTGGAGGACCCGGTGGGGAGTGGCGTTGGAGCAGGTCGGGAAAGCCGCCTGGGGTGGGCGGGAGACCCGGCGGCGGGCGGGGGAGCCGGGCGGCCGTGGGCCGGCGTGTGCCCCGGCGCGGAGGCGCTGAGGCCCGGGGGCCCGGTGAGCGCCCTGCCTGTCAGGGCAGTGGCCGGGGCCTGGCCTCAGCGGAGGGACCGCGATGCCCCGGGGTGGAGGTGCCCCCGTGGGCCGCGCAGCTCCTACAGCGTTACCGGGAGGGCGTCATTTGATCAACTGTCCCCTCTCTCTCCTGGTGCTTCCCCCGGGTTCAGCTTTTCGTTCATTCGGAGGGTGTTCACTGAAGCACCCCTTTCTGTGCTCCATAACGGGGGGACGCTGCTCGCCTTGCTACATCAAGTTTCGCTTTTGTGTGCGGCATCGGTCGGGGCGGAGGAAAGACCCGGCCCGTGTAGAGGTGACCGCGGGGAGCGTTGGCCGGGGGTCTGGAGACCTGGGCGCGGATGTCATCGCCATCGTCAGTTTCTCCAGGAACGGGAGGCAGCTCATTGCTCGTTGAGCCTCCGTTTCCTCAGATGTAAAAAGAGAACCGTGATGACAGCAGGTTCTTCCTGCTTTCTACAGCCTTTTTCATGTCTGGACACAGAGTAAAATTGCTGAGGAGGGTGTGTGTGTGTGTGTGTGTGTGTGTGTGTGTGTGTGTGTGTGTGTGTGTGTGTTTGGAACGGATCGATGACTCTGACACCCGTGGTCCATTAAATATCCCGCTGGGAAACAGACCTGCCCGTTCCTCCTCCACTGCCCGGTCCCGGTTCGTGCACTCGTTCCAGGCTGCGCCCACGTCCTCTGAGAATAGTTCTGTGCTGGAAGACACCATATTTATATGAACCTCGTGTTGGCATTAGAACCCGTAGATGCTTGGGCCACTTATGCTCATCACCATGCTTCTTTTGAAAACGCTTACACTCACCTCTAAACCCTTAGAAGACAGGAACTGTATGGTATTTATCATTTTACCTACAGTGCTTAACAGTTCTTTGGCGTCTTTGCCTGTTACAATAGAGAGTAAATATTTATTCCCTGCAAGGTGAGAGTAGGGGTTTAGAGCTAGAAGAGGTCACTTCTGATTGGGAAGAGCGTGGAAACTGTCACAAAAGAAGGGTCATTTGAAAGGAGCTCAGAGAAGAGGTGTAGAACTGGTCTTGTGGAAATGGATGCGAGCATTTCAGGCAAGAGGGAATAAAAAGCAAGGAGGCAGGCAAGTGTGGGATGTGCTCCAGGAATACGTGGGCAAAACCATGGAGAGAGTGAGGAGGGAGAAAGCCTAGAAAATTTGCCTGTGTTCAGTCAGGTTGCGAATACCCTTGGACGCCATTGTATGGAGTTCGAACTTTATTTGTAGGTAGTAGAGAACCAGCGAAAAGTTTTTGAGTATCTTATTTTTTTAAGTGTCACATTATTCATTTTAAAGTAGTAACGACATTCCCAATGTAGAGAGAGTGCTAGCAAAACGGAATGTTTTGACAGGCTAGTATTCCTTTTTTGCAATTGAATTGCCTTGGCATTTATAGAAAATAATGAAGTGTAGTTAATTGGATATCATCTTGATAATAAAAATGCAGTTAAGTGATGATGTGTTTTGGAGGCTTATTTCATGTAAGAATTAATTTAGATTAGAGATGTGTCCAAAGAGAGAACAAGATATTAATTTGAACTTTATGTTTGTGTAGTGGTTTGTATGGGCCTTTTATGCTTTCTTTCCCAGTTATTAATTCAGGTGTAGAAGAGGCTGAGCTTTGGCACAGTCTGAATGCCACTTTAGATTTCATTAGGAATTGGTACACATTGATGCACGATTTATACACATACGAGAAGCTGAGCTGAAATCTTGAAAATGGAGGATATTATCTTGTGAGCTGCCTTTATCAGAGTTTATTGTTTTATTTTAGATTTTTGCTGACAACAAAATTTAATATCATCAATGTTATTTTATGTTGCTTGTTTTCCAAGTTTTAGGAGATAGAAAATGATCATGATATATTCAGTCATCTTTGCTTAATATACAGGGGGGAGAGCAAAAGTGAGTTTACAGTTGTTTGTGTAGAAAATAATACAGTAATTAAAACTAATAATACAAGAATAAACTCAAAGTTTTGTGTACTCACAGGGGTAAACCTACTTTTGCCCCACATGTGAATTATCTGTAGCTCTAGTGGATTATTCATGTCACTGTTGATGTAATTTCTCTCTAGTGGTTTATTGGCCTAATATAATTTCTTAGAGTATCTGCTTTATATAGGCTTAGCTCTGGAAGCTCATTTGGCTTGTTTTAAGACCCCAAACCAAGACTTCTGATTTAAGTTGGCAAAGTAAAGTCATTTGTGCCCTCTGCTATCTGAAATTACTTTGAAAAAGCAAAGCGAATAAAGATAAAGATCACAGCTTGAATGAAACTAGGAGTCCTGTCACCTCAAATCAAAATATTTAAGAAATGGTTGTCAGATGTAAGCAGGAAGAAATTAAAAGAGGATGTTGGTAGAAGAGGTCTCAGGTAGAGCTGGCCGAACGAGGAGAGAGATCGGTTTGCAGTGGGGTCAGGATGCGTAGGAAGGCAGTGGGAGCTTCCTTGTATTGTTTGGCACCGTGAACCAGCAAGAAAGGAAAAGCCAAAGAGACAGCAGCAGATACACTGTCTTTGAAGGTAGCGCTCTCTTGGTGAGGCAAGAAGTTTTGGCTAAACACCTTTTTCATAGTTATTCTCACACATGTACTCTCTGTCTCTCCCACACATAAACATGCACAAAACGCTCTGTCATAAAGAACTTTCTTGTGATCCAGAGAGTATCCTCTGGATCAGAACACAGCTTGTTTCTTCCTTCCACAATCTTGCAAGTAACTGACCAGGAAGAAGCTCACATCACTCAAAGAGAAGTAATAATAAAAGAAATGGGCACAGTGTCCATACAAAAATATTGTGAGAAAATAAAATAAGAGATAAGTGACAAAGGCCCCATGAAAAAACTATTGGCCTAACAAATTTAATGAAACAACTACTTTTTAAAAATAAGAAACAAAATTAATTGGCCCAAGAGCTAGGAAGAAGTAGTAAGAAAACAGTATATGGTAATTATGATCTGGTAGAGCTCACGAAAGGAAATGAAAGCCCGGCCAGTGTGGTTCAGTGGTTGCGCATTGACCCAGGCACCAGGATTCTCAGGGCACATGCCAGGGTTGGTGGCTCCATCCCCAGAAGGAGGGGTGCAGGAAGCAGCTGATCGATGTTGATGTTTCTCTCTCACCAATGTTTCTATCTTTCCCTTTTCTATCCTCTCTCTCTAAAAATCAATAAAAACATATAAAAAAGAAATGGAAATAGCAAAAGGGAAAGAAAAAGAAATTCAGAAGTAAAAGGGCACATTGGAAACAAAAAGAATTAACTCAGTAAAGGACATGATGACAGGCTTTTGAAAGTTGAACCAAGTGAAATGGGAATGAAAGGAGATGATACAAGTGCTTACTTGTAGTTCTGGAAATAGAGAATTAAACATTGGAACAGAAACATATTCAAACATAACTTAAGAAAACTGCACAAACAAGAAATCGATTCTACAGACTGTAGGGCACACAGTGAGGAAAAACTAATAGAACAGTCATCAACATCTTTACATATTAGTTTTTTAAAAATTGAATTTCAGCCCTAGCTGGTTTGGCTCACTGGATAGAGCGTCAGCCTGGGGACTGAAGGGTCCCAGGTTCGATTCCGGTCAAGAGCATGTACCTTGGTTGCAGGCACATCCCCAGTAGGGGGTGTGCAGGAGGCAGCTGATCGATGCTTCTCTCTCATCGATGTTTCTAACTCTCTATCCCTCTCCCTTCCTCTCTGTAAAAAATCAATAAAATATATTTTTTTTAAAAAATTGAATTTCAAAGATAAGGAATGCATTCTTTGCTCATCCTATTAAAATGATTAACTTACATATACGGGAGTGCTGGGGGAAGGCAGATATTGTCGGGAATATTTAGCATAACAGGAGAATGGTATAAAGCTTATAAGTCATCAGGGTAAAGATATTGTAACTTCAAAACAAACTGTCAATTGACAATTGTTTTTGAACAATGCAAGAATTCAGGGTAAATAATACCCATAAGTTCTTTTTGATGGACTGTGAGAAGATGAATATCAGCCATCCAGTAAATGAACAGAGATCGTACAGCAAAAGGGCAGGGAACATAGTAACTAACAATAAGGCCAAAATAATGGTGAGATTTTTAGTTATCCTATATAATAAAGCGGTAATATGCAAAATAACCCTCATGCCCTCACAAGATGGCTGCTACAACCAGGCTGGTGGGGTTAGTGAGGGATGACAAAACGACTGAACAAGTAGGCTGCATGGGGTGACCAGGCCGGCAGGGGGGTTAGTAAGGGACGACCAAACGACTGAACAGCAGGCTGTGTGGGGCGACCAGGCCAGAGGAGGGGCCGTGAGGGGCAACCAGGCTGGCGGCAGGGGGCAGTTGGGGGCGACCAAGTCAGCAGGGAGGGTAGTAAGAGGCGACCAGGCCAGCGGAGGGGGGGGGGGCAGTTAGGGGCGACCAGGCAGGCAGGCAGGTGAGCAATTAGGAGCCAGCAGTCCAGGATTGTGAAAGGGATGTCCGACTGCCGGTTTAGGCCCGATCCCTGGCAGTCAGACATCCCCCAAGGGGTCCTGGATTGGAGAGGGTGCAGGCTGGGCTGAGGGGACACCCCCCACCCCCGCACGAATTTCGTGCATCGGGCCTCTAGTAGAATATAATAGAATTGTAACAAGGTAAAAATAACTAATA